CGCCTCACCCTCCCAAAGTGCTGGGATTGCAGGCGTGAGCCACCGAGCCTGGCCTATGGTTGCTTTGCTGCTTCAAGTCTTCTGTGTTCTGCAGCCCGAATGGGGCAGGAGCCATCCAGATCTGGAGGCGCCTCGTCCCCTGCCCAGCAGGGACCCCCAACCCCAGGCCCACTGGGCTGAAGTCAGGCCTAACTACTTTCAGACCCAATAGTACTCAGCAAGCCACCCAACATGGCAGGCCTGTGTTTGCCCAGGTCGGTGGCTTTTGTAGGACACACGAGGGCACTTGGAGAACCCTACCCCCCCCACCCCCCAGTTCTTCTCTCTTTTTCCTTCTATTCTCTTCCAGTGTGGATGTTTGCCTAAATCCCCTGGTTCTCCCAACTCTCAAGCTCCAGCTGAGACTTCATAAATTCTCTCTGGAATCCTTAGAGCAGGACCAGCCTCTGAGCCATGGAAGTCCCTTTAACATCCAGAACGAAGGTGGATCTCCAGGGATTGCTCACGCTGTTTCAGGGGGATGTGCCAGAGGACTCATTTGAAGACAGCATTTGTCTCCTGTTTTCACGCTTCGGCGTTTTGTTTTATTCTGATAAGCACAGGTTGGCCCTCCCTAACGTCAAAATCCAAAATCCGAAATGCTTCAAAATCCAAAACTTTTGAGCACTGCCCTGAAGCCACGTGGAAAATTCCACACCTGACCTCACGTGATGGGTTGCACTCAAAACACAGGCAAAACTTTATTCCGTGCACAGATTATTTTGACGTGTTGGATGAAATTACCTTCGGCTGTGTGTAAGGGGTCTCTCCAACATAATCCAATTTCGTGTTTAGCCTGGGTCTCGTCCCTAAGAGATCTCATTATGAACTTGCAAATATGCCAAAATCTGAAAAATCCAAAATCCGAAACACTTCCGGACCCAAGCATTCTGGAGGGGGGATACTCAGCCTGTAATACTTAGAAAAATAGAAAATAACCAAGTACGAAGCATAGGCCTACCACGGAGGTCCTGAAGATGCTTCCGCGGCTGCCATGTCACACTTCCTGGCAACTCCGCCTCGTCACCTAGCATGAACAGATGTCAGCATCTTGCCATGTTTGCTTAAAATTTAAAAAACAGAAATAAGGACCAGGCGCAGTGGCCCCTGCCTATAATCTCAGCCCTTTGGGAGGCTGAGCTAGGTGACTGCTTGAGCCCAGGAGTTTAAGACCAGCCTGAGCAACATGGTGAAGCCCCCATCTCTACAAAAAATAAACAAAATAGCTGGGCCTGGTGGCGCACACCTGTAGTCCCAGCTCCTCAGGAGGCCCAGGTGGGAGGATCACTTGAGCCCAGGAAGTCGAGGCTGCAGTGAGCTGTGATTGTGCCACTGTACTCTAGCCTGGGTGACAGAGCGAGACCCTGTCTCAAGAAAAGAATGGAATAAGCTATTAAAGGTAGAGACGAAGGCTCTCGCTTTCTCTTCCCTGCTTCTCATCCTCTGCTTCAGAGTCCGTCCCCACCATGAACTTTCTCTGAATTCAGTGCTGGTCTTATGACACACACATACACACCGTTATACCTATACAAACACATGTACGCAAACACACATACATGTTTATCTGTACATATACATGTGTGTCCACCCCTGGCCACATCGCCCTTCTCTTACATCTGCCGACCTTCGAATGGTACAGGGGGCAGGGCTGTTCTCCCTCCCTCCTTGGGACTCACCCGCCTCTTCCCGCCCTGTCCACACAGGGAAATCACCCACATGCCCCAGCTCTCAGACCCTGCACCTCTGTGTCTCAGGCCACAACAAGGGTCCATTCACCCCCCACCTCCATTTCCAATTACCGGGATCCTCTGGATTCTTCTGTTTCTTGAGTCGGGCCCCCCTTTCCATCCTAGCCACTCTCAGCAGCCTGTACCAGTGTCTCTACTGCAGCAATTAAACGTGTTCTTTTTATCCCTGCCCGACTTCTCTCCTCTCCCAGCTCCTGGCCCCCGGCCCAGGGCCCCTGTTGCTCTTTTTACCTCTGTTCCTCGGAGGCTAGTACATAGCGAGCACCCAAATGGGAATGAAAGTTTTCCTCTGTGTTAGTGAAGGTAGGAAACGTACACCTGTAGCGTCTGTGGCTCTTTCCCCAGAAGTTTTTGTGTTTATACCTCGTTGTTTCCACACTGGCTTGTAATGTGACGTGCGGTTTTGCCCTGTGCTGAGGAGCCACGTGACCCTTCCCCTGGCTGTTGGTACCCTGCCGCCTTCCCGGTGTAGCTGTCACTTGCTAAACATCCTGAAATGGATCTGTGCTCTGTGTTGATTACTTTAGAATTACACAAACAATAGTTACATGTTTTAAAATATGCACAGATAGCAGAAGCAGCAGCATCTTCTACAGCTTGCTTTGGAAACTCAACACTACGCTGAGATTTCTTCATGCCGATGCTTGCACGGCCCGAGCCCTCCCTTTTACCCGCTGTGTAATATTCCACCACGCACTCTTGCCCCGCATTCGAGGCACACTGTGTTTACCAGTCCCCCTACTGATAACCATCTGTGTGACACCTACCAGTGATTTAGACCAGAACGGGGTGTTCATCTCATGGGGTCACAGCAGAGTTGCGTCAGCAGCAGTTCATACTTCGTGCCTTCGGGAGTCCCTGCTCCTCCTGTGGCCTAAGTGTGGAGCAAAACAAGCAGAGCATCGTGCAGACACCAGGGGGACGCCCCATGACGCTGATACTGCTCTGTCAACCTCAGCCCAGCGTCAGAGTCTTCTGACATCTCTTCCTTGAGCCTGGCCGCCTGCAGCTGGGAATGCTCATATATGGTAGTATGACTAACCTGAGGGAGTCATCAGGGATCCTGAGAAGTTCTGCATTCTTGGTCTGCTTCCCAGGGGGACGAGTGAGCATGCAGAGGTCCTCCCCCGCAGTCTCAGGCTCTGCTTCGGAGGAGGGCAGCCCTGTCTGCCCACTGCAAAGCAAGCCAAGCCTCTCCTCTCCACACGGGGTTATTTTTGTCTGGGGCACAGCCTCAGTCAGGACCCTGGAGAGTTTCCAGGGGTCAGGAATGGGAACCACACCGTTCCCATAGCTCTTTGGCTCAATCTCTGCTGCCTGGTGCCAACGTTTCTGCTTCCTGGGATGCCCACCTTGGCCTCCATCCCCTCTGGGTCTTAATCTATGTCTCCCCTTGTACTGGCACTGTCCCAGCCAACTTGATCGGTAAACACCGGTCAATGCTATGGGCGTGAAGATTAGGGAAGACTCCCATTTGAAGAACTGAGCCCCGGAGAGTTCCAATGGGTCAGCTTGAGGCACGGCCACCCCCCCGCCTCCAGACAGAGCCCCTTCCTCTGGCCCCTGAGGGCCCGGCCCTGTCTTTATAGTCAGCTTTGTCCTGCCATGTGAGGACTACGGGTTTCCTCTTCTCTCCCTGACCTGAGTGTGCGCTCCTTGAGGCCAGGGGCAGAGTCCTCTTCATCTTCGCATCCCTAGACTTCATCTCAGAGTCCAGCACACCGCTGGATGGAGGTGACTGGGTGGCCCTGCCTCTCCCCTGGGAGTAAAGGAGATGGGGGGGTGTGAGTGGACACACTTGTTCAAGCCCTTGTTTGTCTTCTTGGACCAATAACATACATGTTTCAGATGGCAAGCCAGGAGGAGGAGGTCTGTAGTTCGTGTCCCTATCATGGAGGGGAGATAGTTGGCCCTCAGGGATATAGGAGCCAAGGTAGCTTCCAGAACATTCTGGATCTTTGGAATCATCGTTTCGAATCTCAGTGTCTCTGCTTACCAGGATGCTGGGCCTGGGCTTGTCATGTCACCACACTAAACCACAGCTTTCCTATCTGCAAAACGGGGACGGGTTGTCATGGTGATTGAGAATGTTGGAAACAGATGCTTGGTGCCACGAAGAAAAATTAGCACTGAGACAGAGGATCTCTTAGAAAAGCAACTTTTACTTCCCGGACTGCAGGACGGGTACCCTTGCTAGCCATCTTGCCACGAAAGTACAATGAACAAAGGAAAAGCAGACATTGTACACATTTGGGGTTGTCCTTACTGCTGTGTTTGATTTCCATTGGCTGGAGCCAGACTATACAATTTAAACTAAAACCTGATTGGCTGACAACTTCAAACTTTTCTAAACAGGTACGGGGCATACGCTGTGAGCTGGGACATGCCTGTGAGCACATCCGGCACAGATATCTTGGTTAAAGTACAAGGTCATAGAATGGACTACGTGCATGTAAGCACAGCATGTCTCACAGCTGCATAGGACAGGGCTTACCAAAGAGTTATCAGCAAATTTATTCCTTAACAAGAAAGGAAACTTTGAAGAGAAAGTTTTTTATTTCCCACAGGGAATGACATAAACTACCGGGCTGCCTAGGTGCTTACGAAGGGTTTTCTAATGGAACAAAACTCTGAGTCCTTGGCTGGACTCTGTTCGGGGCAGCTGTGTCTTAGTGTGCGACAGATGTGTGGGTGGGCCCAGGGCAAGCGGCGAGGGCTGTGATAAGAGAAGCCATGTGTCTGTCAATCACTATTGGTAAACCAAGCCTCATTACACAGGGACTAGACATTTGCTATCAACGTTGGTCACGGAGCACCCTTTGGTGATGGGAAATGACGTTACCAATCCCCTTGGGGGCAGGAGATAGAAGCTAATTTGTGCCAGAGATTCACCTGAGTCCTGAATGAGGAAGCAATGCTGACTCAGAATTAGAAAATACAGGGACTCTCTCAAGGGAAACTTGAGACTGGGAGGACCTGTTCTGGGTTATCCTCTTTGGAATCCAGACAGCTCGCCTCGCTGGAAACCCTTGGCATAAATCCCAGCTCCACCACTTCCTGTCAGTGGGACCTTGGCTGTTCAGCTTCTGTGAGCCTCCGTTTCCATATCTGCAAAATGGAGAGTGTCGTTCGCGCTGTGTTCGCTGCTCCAGCCTGCGCTGTGACTGACTCCTATTAACGCAACTTCTCCCACCACCCTCTGCTTCCTTTCAGAGTTCGAGTGCCCAGCTCTGCCCCAGGAGCCCAGGCTTCCCTGTTAGTGCCATAGTTGCCACAGGAGTGGAGCCATGAGCTGTGTCCTAGGCCGTGTTGTCCCCTTGGGGCTGCTGTTCCTGGTCTGCGGATCCCAAGGCTACCTCTTGCCCAACGTCACTCTCTTAGAGGAGCTGCTTAGCAGATACCAGCACAACGAGTCTCACTCGCGGATCCGCAGGGCCATCCCCAGGGAGGACAAGGAGGAGATCCTCATGCTTCACAACAAGCTTCGGGGCCAGGTGCAGCCTCCAGCCTCCAACATGGAGTACATGGTGAGAGCCGGCTCTGCCCACAGAGGCTGGCACGGGGGGTGGGGCCAGGCCACCAGCCTGCTCTGATCCCCAGCCAGTGTGGGACGGCTGGCTTGGGGTCTCCTCTGGCAGGCGAGCGTCCTGACTCTGTTCTATTCTGTTTGTTTGTTTTGAGACAGGGTCTCGCTCTGCCACCGAGGCTGGAGTGCAATGCTGCAATCATCATGCCCTGAGACCTCAGACTTCTGGGGTTAAGCGATCCTGCTTCAGCCTCCCGGGTAGCCGGAACTATAGGCATGCACAGCGCCCAGCTAGATTTTAAATATTTTGTAGAGATGAGGGTCTTGCTCTGCTGCTCAGGCTGGTCTTGAACTGCTAGGCTGCAGCCATCCTCCTGTCTCAGACTTTCCAAGTGCTAGGATTATAGGCACGAGCCACCATGTCTGGCTCTGGCTGTGCTCTTAACGTGCTGCCAAAACAATACACGTGGGTTCCCTGTGCAGAGCCTCCCTCACTGCCTTCATGTCACTCTTGGTAGCTCCACTGGGAACAGCTCTTCCTACCTGGAGGCCCTCCTGGAGGCAGAGTGGGGAGGAGCCCGGGCTCTGCTGCTGCTGATCTCGGCTCTGCCACAGGCTAGCTGCATGACCTCGACACCTCCTTAGCCAGCGTGAGTCTCACTTTCCCTTTTGAGAGTACTTCCTCGCGTGGTTCCCATTACGGTGAGATGAGTTGAGGCTGTGAAGGGCCCAGTACGGACTAACCCTGCCTCCCTTGACCCCTAGTCTTTGCTAACCAGGAAGGAGCCAATGCTGACAGAAGACAGCCAAGGTCAACCCTCCTGAGCGCTTGTTATGGGTGTTCTAGGTGTGGTTGGAGGATGCTGCCATTTATCCCCCAGTTCCAGTGTGGAAACTTCCTTCCTGGCTGGTTTTCCAGAATGACAGGGAAATGGAACACAGTCTTCTAGGGTCACTCCTTGTTCACCAACCAGGAGCCTCCACGTTGTCCATCCATCAGCTATGAATGGCTTTTTAAACAAACCCACGTTCCAGCCTGGGTAACATGGCAAAACAAAAAAATCCAAAAGTTAGCTGGGCGCAGTGGTGCACACCTGTAGTTCCAGCTACTGAGGGGTGGGTGCTGAATGAGGATCGCTTGAGCCCAGGAGGTTGAGGCTACAGTGAGCTGAGACTGTGCCACTATACTCCAGCCTGGGTGACAGAGCAAGATCCTGTCTCAAAAAACAGACTGGGCACGCCTGTAATCCCAGCACTTTGAGAGACCAAGGTGGGTGGATCACCTGAGGTTGGGAGTTCGAGACCAGCCTGACCAACATGGAGAAACCCTATCTCTACTAAAAATACAAAATTAGCCAGGCGTGGTGGCGCATGTGTATAATCCCAGCTACTCGGGAGGCTGAGGCAGGAGAATCACTTGAACCGGGGAGGCAGAGGTTGTGAGCTGAGATTGCGTCATTGTACTCTAGCCTGGGCAACAAGAGCAAAACTTCATCTCAAAAAAAAAAAAATCCACATCTCTCCCAGAGTCTGAGTCTTTGCCACTTTGGGTGCAGACATTGTCATGGTCCCTGCTGTGACTTCTCTGGTAGACAGGATGCAGCCTCATCTGCATCTTTAAAGCTGTGGTCACGTTCCTTTGTCACAGGCTGAGCTGGCCCAGGTGATGACCCCTGTCTCCCCAGCAGTGCTGCCACGGAGGGTCATGGCCTGAGTGTCGAGTGGCTATTCTGTGCTGCTTGCACTGTGTCCTCTTTAACCCTGGAAAACAAAGTCTTCGCGCGAATTTGCGGAGGAGAAAACTGAGGCTCAGAGAGGTTCACCTTTAAAGGACTTGCACAAACCATGCGGCTACAAATGGTGAGGCTGTGATTCAAAGCTGCCCCGCCTGTCCCAAAGCCTGCACATAGTAGCTGTTAATACATATATATCATTGTTGTTTATTTGCTTTTGAGACAGAGTCTCTCTCTGTCACCCTGGCTGGAGTGCAATGGTGCCATCTTCGCTCACTGCAACCTCGAGCTCCCAGGTTCAAGTGATTCTTCTGACTCAGCCTTTTGAGTAGCTGGGATTACATGTGCCCACCACCATGCCCAGCTAATTTTTTGTATTTTTAGTAGAGATGGGGTTTCACCATGTTGGCCAGGCAGGTCACGAACTCCTGATCTCAAGTGATCCTCCCACCTCGGCCTCCCAAAGAGCTGGGATTCCAGGCATGAGCTCAGCCAGCAGTGAAGGACATCTCCTGTGCAGGGGAGAGGGTTGCAGGGCCCAGTGGGAGGCAGCAAGGCTGCTGGGAGGTGGCTCTGACAGGCAGGTGATGGGCAGGTGAGGGGTGATGGGGCAGGACTTCGGTGGGAGATGGGGAGTGAAGAACAAGAGCTCCTCCAAAGACCTGGGAGGCGTTGTCCATGGCTCTGGGCAACACATGCTTTCTCTTTGAGCTTTCTCTTTGGGCTTTCTCTCTTGCTCCAAGCTCTGGAGGCACTGTGTGGAAGGCTCCTGGGAGCAGAGCCACCCAGCCCTAGGGGCTGCTTCTGAAGGGGTGGAGCAGAAGCTGGAAGACCCGCAAGCCTTCCCCCAGAACCACCAGCTCTCCCTCCTGTCTGCTTTCGCCTGAACAGGCTCCCTTCCTCTTCTAAGTCCTCTCTTCCTTCCTCCCTCCCTCCCTCCCTCCTTTCCTCCCTCACTCCCACCTCCCTCCCTTCCTCCCTCCCTCACTCCCTCCCTCACTCCCACCCTCCTTCCCTCCCTTCCTTCCCTCCTTCCTTCCTTCCTTCCCTCCTTCCTTCCTTCCCTTCTTCCTCCCTCTTACCCTCCCTCCCTCCCTTCTTTCCTTCCTTCCCTTCTTTCCTTCCTTCCCTCCCTCCCTCCTTCCTTCCTTTCTTCCCCCCTCCCTCCCTTTCTGCCTTTCTTCTTTTTCTTTCAATGGTCTCACTATGTCACCCAGGCTGGAGTCCAATGGCGCGATCTCGGCTCACTGCATCTCCACCTCCCAGGTTCAAGTGATTCTCCTGCCTCAGCCTCCTGAGTAGCGGGGATTACAGGCGCCCACCACCATGCCTGGCTAACTTTTGTATTTTTAGTAGAGGCAGAGTTTCACCATGTTTGCCAGGCTGGTCTTGAACTCCTGACCTCAAACAATCCACCCACCTCAGCCTCCCAAAGTGCTGGGATTATAGGCATGAGCCACCGTGCCCAATGCTAGTTTTTCTTTTTCACCTCCAATTTCTAAGAGCAGAGGGGGCTGGTTGGAAAATGCTGTTGGAAGAGTTGCTTTACAAGAAATGAAAGGAAAGGGGCCACAGGAACGTTGAGACCCATCAAATGTCCCATCCGTGCAACCCTGGTGGCTTGGCCTTGGTCCTTGTGGGGCAAGGAGGCCCCACGTCTCTCTGGAGAGGTTGTCAGCATCTGGGACTGGAGCGTGACTGAGCTGCCGCCCCTGGGATCCCAGATGCTTCCTGCCTCCCGGTCTGGAGCAGGCCGGGTTCCTGCAGGTCTTTTTCTCCCTGCACTGCGGGGTCCTCCAGTTTCACGCCAGACTTAGCACCAGTGGAAGGAGCTTCTTTGCAGCAGGGAAAGTCAGGCTGCCCGGCAGCCGCAGGGGCCTTGCATGTTTTCCTGTTTGCTGACTTGGTGATGTTTCAGGAGTGGAGTTGAGATCTGGGCCTTTGGTCTAAAAGGATGGCCTGCTGGGGAGGCTGAGCCTTCATGGATGTTACTGAGGCTGCCTTGGAACAGGCAGGGAAGGCAGAGGCCCCGGCCCTCAGCCCGGTGCCTTCAGCCCTGTACTGCCTTCCCCTCTGCTCTTGTTCACACCCAAATAGCAATGCAGACTTGAGAGAGCGTCTCCGAAGCGTGGCTTCCTGCTAAACCCTGCCCACTGTGGCTTCACGCCACAGTCCTTCCAAACAGCCTTAGCACTGAAAGGTGGATTCTAAAACCCCAGAGTTGAGCAGCCTGTTCTGACGTATTATGAGTGGACAGGCTCTGGAGCCAGCCCGCCTGCCTCTCCAGCTCTGTCCCTGGCCAGCTGTGTGACTTCGGGCAGATTGCTTAGCCTGTCTGTTTATATTCTCACCTGCACGATGGGAACAAGAACCCCTTTCTCACAGGGCTGTTTGGAGGGGTGGTGAGGTGACGCATGAGCGGTTCTAAGCGACGTTAGCACTGTTATCATTTAGTGTGTTGCATATGTATGTCGCATATTGCATTAGCATATTTCAGTAACTTATTTTGGCGGGGTGGGTCTGGCACTTGGTTACAGTATGCAAAGCAGGAAGAGCCCCCTTTGTAGCCAGACAAGAGGGGGTTGTCAACACCTTCCTGGCTGTGTGACCTCAGGCAGGTTACTTCACCTCTCTGAGACTCAAGGTTTGTTGTCCCTTGGCGGTTGAGGAGTCTTGGTGGGACAGTGGGAGAGAGGGGAAGGTGGGTGCCAGTTGAAGAGTCTCAGTGGGACAGAGGGAGAGAGGGAAGCGTGGGTGCCGGTTGAGGAATCTCGGTGGGACAGAGGGAGAGAGGGAAGCGTGGGTGCCGGTTGAGGAGTCTCGGTGGGACAGAGGGAGAGAGGGAAGCGTGGGTGCCGGTTGAGGAGTCTCGGTGGGACAGAGGGAGAGAGGGAAGCGTGGGTGCCGGTTGAGGAATCTCGGTGGGACAGAGGGAGAGAGGGAAGCGTGGGTGCCGGTTGAGGAGTCTCGGTGGGACAGAGGGAGAGAGGGAAGCATGGGTGCCGGTTGAGGAATCTCGGTGGGACAGAGGGAGAGAGGGAAGCGTGGGTGCCGGTTGAGGAGTCTCGGTGGGACAGAGGGAGAGAGGGAAGCGTGGGTGCCGGTTGAGGAGTCTCGGTGGGACAGAGGGAGAGAGGGAAGCGTGGGTGCCGGTTGAGGAGTCTCGGTGGGACAGAGGGAGAGAGGGAAGCGTGGGTGCCGGTTGAGGAGTCTCGGTGGGACAGAGGGAGAGAGGGAAGCGTGGGTGCCGGTTGAGGAGTCTCGGTGGGACAGAGGGAGAGAGGGAAGCGTGGGTGCCGGTTGAGGAGTCTCGGTGGGACAGAGGGAGAGAGGGAAGGTGGGTGCCGGTTGAGGAGTCTCGGTGGGACAGAGGGAGAGAGGGAAGCGTGGGTGCCGTTGTGTTGGGCAGGTACTTCCTGCTGGGGGTTCCCAGGGCTAAGCAGATGCTTCCACGGTCATCTGCTGTGTACCTGGGGCTGGGTGTGCAGAGGGAGGGAGGCCAGCCTCTGCCTGCTCAGAGCTGGAGCTTCGGTCCGGAGGACTGCAGGGGAAGCAAAGCATCAGCTGCCTGCTGCCATCGGGGCTTTCTGGAGTCTGTCCTCTGAAGAGGAGAAAGGACATGCTTGCGCTGTTCACGGGGTTCTATCCCAGGACACCTGGTTGTTCCTGGGGAGGCTGGGCTGCAGAGCCTGTCTTCAGAGTCTCTGCCCAGACCCCTGCCCAGGTCCTGCTGATTCAGGATGGGCCGTGCTGGGAGGTAAGCAGGGCTGGGCAAGCTGAAGATGTCACTTGTCAATTTGTTTTTATTGTGGAAAAATATACAAACTATAAAATTGACCATTTTAACCATTTTGAAGGTGACATTCTGTGGTGTTGAGTACATCCACACTGCGGCCGTCCCTGCCGTCCATCTCTGGCACTGCCTTCTCTCTCTCTCTCTCTTTTCCCTTCCTTCCTTCCTTCTCTCTCCTATCTCTCTCTCTCTCTCTCTCTCTCTCTCTCTCTCTCTCTCTCTCTCTCTCTCTCTCTCTCTCTCTCTCTCTCTCTCGTCTCATTTCATGCAGGCCTAGCTAATTTTTGTATTTTTAGTAGAGACGGGTTTCACCACGTTGGCCAGGCTGGTCTCCAACTCCTGACCTCAAGTAATCTGCCCTCCTCGGCCTCCCACAGTGCTGGGATGACAGGCATGAGCCACTGCCCCAGTCCATCTCGGGCACTTTCTATCTTCCAACTGAAAGGCGGCGTCCATTCATCTCAGGGCCCTTCTTGCCATGTGGCCCCACAGGTGGCCAGCAAGTGTCTAAAATCCCCTGCAGGGGACCTCAGCTGCTTTTCCCTGCAGGTCTGAGTGCGGCTGATGTGGATAAAGCCTCCCTGACTGCAGCCAGGCCCTGGGCTGGGCACCCCCTCCTGGGTTTCCCATCCCCATGACTGCGCACATTGAGGGCTGTGGACATGCCCACGTTACAGATGAGGACAGTGAGGCTCAGAGAGGGCAACAGCATGCCTAGGCTCACACAGCCATTCCAGGACCTGCATTCAGAGCGCTGATCCTGCACCACACAGATAACTTATCATTTCCAGCCCTTGGTCTAGGAATAGCATCAACTTATTACCTGTGTGGACCACACACAGCTGCATACATGGAGACAGCTCCGGCTCCAGGGTCCTGAAGACCTGGGTTAAGTCCTGGTTCTGCAGCCAGCTGGCTGTGGGACCCGGGGAAATTGGCATGCTTCTCCAAGCCTTGATTTGCTTGCCTGTGAAATGGGGATAAGAAGGGTCTACTTCAGAGGCCCCCTGTTAGGATGTAATGAAAAGATTGGGGTAAAGCCCGAGGCCTGGTGTGCGTGGAACACTTGTAAGGAGAGGAAGCCGTGGTCATCGGGATGGGCTCCCAGGCCAAGCCCGTTCCTGGAGATGGCTGCTGACCTCCCCCTTTCCTTCCACACAGTGTGCTGTGTTAGCTTCAGAGGTCACTCAGCAGGGCCACTTCTGTGTCATAGACACTGAGGCCCAGAGAGAAGACATCTGCCCAGGACCTCTGGCAAGTGAGAGGCCCAACAGGAGGCCTGAGGACAGGTTTGGAGCTGGCACCTCTGGCCTGCCACGCCCCCCTGGCTAATTTAGGAAGCCTGAGATACAGCAACAGAGCACTGGCTGTGGGCTCAGCGGGACCCAGGCTGGGGCGTTGCTGCATTTAAGTTTCTTATGCCCCTCCCTCATCCTCACCTCCTGGTGCCTGTTTCTCTTCCTCCTGCAGACCTGGGATGATGAGCTGGAGAAGTCAGCAGCAGCGTGGGCCAGCCAGTGCATCTGGGAGCACGGGCCCACAAGTCTCCTGGTGTCCATCGGGCAGAACCTGGCCGCCCACTGGGGCAGGTAAGAGCCACAAGCTCCCCTGCAGCTGCTGAAGGTCCCCATTGCCATGTGCCAGGCTCAGCACTTGTGCCCATTATCAAGTTCACCCTGCACAGACACCATCCCTCCCATCGATATTCGGGTAAACTGAGGCTCAGCACCCAGGAACACTCCTGAGTAACTGACAAAATGTATTCAAGCTTGGTTGGCTGACCCCAGACACTGAGGATTGATTAAAGTGTATAGTTTGGGTTTTCTTTCTTCTTTTTTTGAGACAGGGTCTGATTCTGGCATCCAGGATGGAGTGCAGTGGCTCACTGCAACTTCCACCTCCCAGGTTCAAGAGATTGTCAAGCCTCAGCTCCCCATTAGCTGCGACTGTAGGCAGGTGCCAGCATGCCTGGCTACTTTTCTTATTTTTAATAGACAGAGTTTCATCATGTTGGCCAGGGTGGTCTCGAACTCCTGGCCTCAAGTGATCCACCACCTCGGCCTCCTCCAGTGTGGGGATGACAGGCATGAGCCTGTAGTTTGGGTTTTCCATTCCATCTCCTGTGCTGCATTCTTGAGTCCCTGTTCCTGTGGGGTGAGCTGCTGTGTTCGTGGTGGCTCATTTCTGTCTGGCTCTGCACACTGTTTCAGGCTGAGCCAGGTTCGTTCCACCGTGTTGGGAAGACGCCCTTTGCCTTTCCCGTGTCATCCAGCCATCAGGGGACTCATTAACTTCTGCAGACCCCTGAGGCTGCTGTGTCTGGCAGTGGTTTGTCTCCCATAGGAGGCATTGATGTTTGTCTATTAAATGCAGCCGACTAGCCTTCCCCAAAGTCACCTGGACCACATATCTATGCTCTCAAAGAGGCCGGAAGTCCCTCCTGGGGGCTGAGGTCTGGTCTCATTGGGGAAAGTGGAAAAATGTCTTTGACCACACCTAGGACAACAACTAATGACCACATGAGACCAGTGCGTGTGCCATGCCCAGGGCCAGAATGCACATCCTCAGACCCATCCGGGATGTGGACCAACGTCTGTTTTGCCCTAATTCTTGAAAAGTTGCACTGCCTCTAAAATGCCTTTAGACAGCCTCTAAAAATGTAGGTGAGGCTTTGCTTTCCCTTCACACAGAGGGATTTCCTAGCCCGGGTTTCATCCGGCCACAGGCAGCCACTCCTTCCTCTGCATCCGTGCGTTTCCGGGACAAACCCGGCAGGTGTCACGGCAGATCAGCAGCTGCGACTGCACAGAGGCAGGTCCTCACCGTGGTTTTCCTCTGCTGAAGTTAGCTTTTATAAAAACCATCTTACAGTAATAGGAAAGGAAAGTGTCTAAAGCGAGGAGGTCTGTAGTCCACCAGCTGGTCTGGCTCTTCGCATTTTCGGGGGCTCCTTTGTGGCACCTGGCTGGGCGCCGACATAGTTTTACAGCCTTGCGACTGTGGCCTGGATCGCCTTGAAATCTCTTTGTTCTTTTTTCCTTTTCACACAATATTGGGACATTTTCAAGGGTACAGCAGTCATGAGCCTCGCCCTGCAAATGCCCTAATGGCCCCTCCGTGGACAGACCACAGTTGACACGTCGGCTCTTGCAGGCTCGTTTTTGTTTGGGCTTTCGCTTTGTCTCACTTGAAGGCTTGCATTAGGATTACTCCTGACGGGCCAAAGGGCACAGAGACTTCCCCCTTCTTAAGGAATTTTGCTAACTTGCTTTGCAAAAGAGCCCCCGACTTTGCAAGGTGCCCTGGGGCAGCCGTGGGCTCCTTTCCCCACGGCCATGCCAGCGCCAGCCTTGAGTCTGTGTGAGTCTGCGGGAAAGCGGATGAGAGGCCAGCAGCCTTCTGCTCCTACCTCCTCCCTGTGTGCCCCAGGGCACGCCGCTGCCCGCTGACCGCTGCCGTCTCTCGGTTCCCAGACAGTAATTGTTACAAGACCTCTAACTGCCTCCCTCACCACATCGCCCTTAAAAACGGTCATTTCCCCCGTGAGCGTTTTCTCTTCATTGAAACCACTTTGTTTATACTTGCTGGTGACAGTGTGACTGGACTTGCACCCAGTTTAGTTATTCCCCTAGTTTAAAAAAAAAGGCCGGGCACAGTGGCTCACACCTGTAATCCTAACCTCCCCCCACAAAAAAGACTGTGTATAGAAAAATATGAACTAAACCACAGAGAGGGCACCCCCTGTAGCAGGAAAGAGTGAAAGCTGGAAACAAATCCAGCCTCGGAGGGCAGGGCAAAGGGGTCCCTGTCGCCCCGTGAAGAGGAGCGTCCAGCCTCAGGTTTCAGTGTTGTCATGGCCAGCTGCTTTCCTCAGCTTCTGGGGGACCCAAAAACCCAGACACAAAGCCAAAAGCTCATTCAAGAGAAGCCTCCAAGTGCACAGAGCTTTGCAGTCAGGTGCGCAAACACTTTAAGAAACTTCTTTTTTTTTTTTTTTTTTTTGAGATGGAGCCTTGCTCTGTTGCCCAGGGTGAAGTGCAATAGTCCATCTTGGCTTACGGCAACCTCTGCCTTCCAGGTTCAAGTGATTCTCCTGCCTCAGGCTCCCGAGTAGCTGAAATGCACACCACCACGCCCAGCTAATTTTGTGTTTTTTGTAGAGACTGGGTTTTGCCATGTTCGCCAGGCTGGTCTCGAACTCTTGGTCTCAAGTGATACGCTTACCACAGCATCTCCAAGTGCTGGGGTTACAGGGATAGTCACTGTGTCCGGCCTAAGAAACTTTCTTTTTTCTTTTTTTCTTTTTTTTTTGTGTTTTTGAGATGGAGTCTCCCTGTGTCTCCCAGGCTGTAGTGCAGTGGCATGATCTCAGCTTCAGTTCACTGCAACTTCTGCCTCCTCGGTTCAAGCAATTCTCTGCCTCAGCCACTCAAGTACCTGGGATTACAGGCATGTGTCACCATGCCTGGCTTATTTTTGCATTTTTAGTAGAGACAGGGTTTCACTATGTTGGCCAGGCTGGTCTCGAACTTCTGACCTCAAGTGATCCACCTGCCTCGGCCTCCCAACATACTGGGATTGTAGGCGTGAACCACTGCACTCAGCCAGAAACTTCTTATTTAAGATTTTATCAGCTGGAGCACCACCCTGGGCTCCTCCCTGTCAAGAAGAATCCCAGGCACCATCAACAGCTCCTGGGGCAGCCACCAGCTGCACCTGCCCCTGGACATCCTCCATGAGGTCATCACTTTGTGCCCACCACCCCTTTGCTTCAGCCTCAGCTGCCAAGGTTGGCACCCTTTTTTTTTTTTTGAGACAGGGTCTTGCTCTGTTGCCCAGGGTGGAGTGCTGTGGTGCGATCTCAGCTCACTGCAACCTCCACCTCCCGGATTCAAGTGATTCTCCTGCCTCAGTCTCCCATGTAGCTGGGATTGCAGGCATGCACTACCACACCCAGATAATTTTTAAATTTTTTTTAGTAGAGACGGGGTTTTGCCATGTTGGCCAGGCTGGTCTCGATCTCTTGACCTCAGGTGATCGTTTGCCTCAGCCTCCCAACGTGCTGGGATTACAGGCTTGAGCTACCACGTTCAGCCTCAAATGGACTCACGTCCTAACCGGGTTTGGTCCTGGGCAATAATATCTGTGAAATACGGGCTCATGGGCTGGGTATTCTTTCTCCAATGTACCTGAAAACAAACACCTAATTGACATGAAAAAGGACTCATTGCTAGCTAAGTTAAGAGTTTCCTGCACATGCAGGTGATATGTGGGCCACCTGGGGAGCCTAATAGAGACCCCAGGTGAGCACCTCACTGATAATGGTTTTAAGCACCTGTACCAGGTGCTGCTGGAATTGGGGGCTGTTCCCTTGCCTCAGCCTCCCTCCCTCCTACCTGCCCGTGGCTGCTGCTGGAATTGGGGGCTGTTCCCCCACCTCGCCCTCCCTCCCTCCTACCCGCCCATAGCTGCTGCTGTCTCCATTGGCGGGTGGCAGGAGGGGCTGGGACGCAGCTGTTTCTGCTCTGCAGGTATCGCTCTCCCGGGTTCCACGTGCAGTCCTGGTATGACGAGGTGAAGGACTACACCTACCCCTACCCGAGCGAGTGCAATCCCTGGTGTCCAGAGAGGTGCTCGGGACCCATGTGCACGCACTACACACAGGTACCTTGGGGACTGGCCGCGACCTCAGCCCTGCACCCTAATCCCAGTCGTTTATGCTCTGCCCCTAATGGACTGACCAAATCTGTAAAACCTCAGTGCTGTTACTGCCTTAACTTTTAAAAATTCAGTTCTATGCCAACTACAGCTGGTGGAATAAGTTGTGTGTTACTGGCAAGGCCAGAAACTGAGAGTGAGCACTACAAACTCTTCTTTTTTTTTTGGCTTGGAGACAGGGTCTCGCTGCCACCTGGTCTGGAGTGCAGTGGCATGACCTTAGCTCAGTGCAGCACCAAGCTCCTGGGCTCAAACAGTCCTCCCACCTCAGCCTCCTGAGTACCTGGGACTACAGGTGTGCACTAGCAGGCCCAGCTAATTTTTGTAGTTTTTGTAGAGGTGGGTCTGGCTATGTTGTTCAGGCTGGTCTCCAACTCCTGGGCTCCTGCGAGCCTCCTCCTCCAGCTTCCCCAAGAGTTGGGATTACAGGTGTGAGCTACTGTACCCAACCAACTTTAATGGCAATTTGACACTGCTGGGGCATTGTCATTGTGTGGCGGTTTGTTTGCTTGCTTGCTTGCTTTTTTTTTTTTGAAATGGAGTCTCGCTCTGTCACCCAGGCTGGAGTGCAGTGGTGCAATCTTGGTTCACTGCAATCTCCACCTCCCAGGTTCAAGCGATTCTCCTGCCTCAGCCTCCCGAGTCGCTGGGATCACAGGCATGTGCCACCACGCCCAGCTAATTTTTGTATTTTTAATAGAGAAGGGGTTTCTACTAAAAATAGTTCTGACCTCACCATGTTGGTCAGGCTGGTCTTGAACTCCTGACCTCGCGATCCACCCGCCTCAACCTCCCAAAGTGCTGGGATTACAGGCGTGAGCCGCTGCTCCTGGCCCACTTGCTTGCTTTTTAAGAAAATCCATTTATCTTCAATGAGCTAGGGACTAATATCTGCCTCCCCAACTCTTCACCACAAACCTCTTCAGTGCTAGCACCTTACACATCCATCCAGGCCAGATTACATCACCCTTTTGTGCCTTGTCCCTTGAGCTGTGACAAACAGATGTCATCTTTTCAGATTGTTTGGGCCACCACCAACAAGATTGGCTGTGCTGTGAACACCTGCCGGAGGATGACCGTCTGGGGAGAGGTTTGGGAGAATGCGGTCTACCTCGTCTGCAATTATGCTCCCAAGTAAGACAAGTTGACGTGTTTGTATGGGTGGGAGTTTGGATGTGTTTGCTTGCCATGGAGCACCCAGTTAAAACCGGCTTACGCAGCGAAGTCTTTATTATCTCACATAACGAGGAGTCTGGACTTTGGTGCATCTGAGTTAGCTTAATAGCTCAGCAGTGACAACAAGGACTCAGGTCCTTTTCATCTTCCTGTCGTGCCATTCTCTCCTCATGGGCCCAAGATGGCTGCAGAGCACCAACATCACATCTCCTCAAGCAGAGGAAAGGATGGTAAAAAGCCTCACTTCTTAGGTCTTTCACACACGGACACACTTTCTCCTTATGTTGGCCAGAATGAGACCAATCATAGGCGAGGGGACAAGACTGCCCCGACTGCCTTTTCAACACATCCTCTGGGACCTGCTGAACAGAGTTAGAAGCGGGAATAGCTGCTGGCTTTACACCTGGCATGGCCGGCCCTGGCTGTATGATTATTTTTCTCTGAAAACGTGCAGTAGACAGCACCCTAGAAAATACACGTTCCCGCAAAGCCTAGCTTCTCTGTTTCCCTGAAGAGGGTCGGCTGGTAGCCTCCCAGTCACAGTACCTCCTCTGCCTATAGCTCACATCATCAATGTGGTATCCAATCCTGACCCATTTGCTCATGGGACAAATATGTGCTGATTCTTGGCGAGCCGTCCCCTGCTCACGGCCTGAGGTTTGCACGTTGCTGGCCAGCACTGTTCTCCCCTGTGCTCTGCTCAGAGTGGGCCCCGGGGCATGTTTGCTTAGTGACTGAATGAAAAGTCATTTATTTGTTCTGGGTCAGAAGCAGTTGTGAAAAGGTGGGATGAAGGGGGAATTGCTGAGGTTGGGAGGAAAAATAGAAGCTCTCCCAAAACCATCTGGCACGCCTGCGGTGGCAGGGCCACTGGGCAGCCCACATGGATAAGCCAAGGGTATGTCATTGCCCAGGAGGGACGCAGGCACCAGGCAAGAGCAGCAGGCTGGTCCAAAGTGGTGCAGTTCCCCGTTCAGCAGCAGGTGGAAGTGAGGAATCATTCGACTTGCCTCTGTATAAAAAATAGACACTATATGGTCCTATCAAAAATGAAATTCTTTCCTTCTGTAGCCGCCTCCTGCTTCCTTAAAAAGAGTAATAACTGGCCAGGGGCAGTGGCTCACACCTGCAATCACAGCACTTTAGGAGGCTGAGGCAGGCAGATCATCAGGTCAGGAGACTGAGACCATGGTGGCCAACATAATGAAACCCCATCTCTACTAAAAATACAAAAATTAGCTGGGCATGGTGGTGTGGGCCTGTAGTCCCAGCTACTCGGGTGTCTGAGGGAAGAGAATCACTTGAGCCCGGGAGGAGGAGATTGCAGTGAGCCGAGATCACAGCACTGCACTCTAGCCTGGACAACAGAATTAGACTCCTTTTCAAAAAAAAAGGAATAATCTATACATGGTAAAATATACTCATCTTTTTTTTTTTTTTTTTTTTCCTGAGCTGGAGTCTCGCTCTCTTGCCCAGGCTGGAGTGCAGTGGCCTGTGATCTTGGCTTGCTGCAACCTCTGCCTCCAGGAGTCAAGTGATTCTGCTGCCTCAGCCTCCCAAGTAGCTGGGATTACAGGCACCTGCCACCACGCCCAGCTAATTCTTCTATTTTTAGTAGAGACGGTGTTTCACTGTGTTGGCCAGGCTGGTCTCAAACTCCTGACCTCATGATCTGCCTGCCTTGGCCTCCCAAAGTGCCAGGATTATAAGCACCGTGAGCCACCGTGCCTGACCATATACTCATCTTAAGCATACAGCCTAACACATTCTCACAATGCATTAGTCTGTTGGGGCTGCAGCAACAGATGCCCTACCCTCGGCAGCTTCCACATCAGACCTTTGTCTCTCACCATTCTGGAAGCCGGAAGTCCCCCGGATCAAGGTGCGGCAGCGTCAGGCTCCGGTCGGGGCCCTCTTCCTGTCTCACCGACGGCCACCTTCTTACATGGTGATGAGACATGAGGACGTCTGTCCTATTAGATCAGGCCTTCACCTGTTGACCTCATTTAACCTTAGCTAATTTCCTCAAGGCCCTGTCTCCAAGTACAGTCACACCGGGGTTCAGGCTTCGACCCTGGGATTTGGGGAGACACATACACTCAGTCCATGGCAGTGGCTCTCTACCTGTGTAGCGACCATCCAGATGGGATCGACAGTGTTTCCCATGCCCCAGAGGCTCCTCGTGCCCCGCAAAGTGACCACCGTTCCGCATCTTCCCCGTGGGTCTGTGGTGTGTGGTGTGGGACCTCACATGACGGGGGCCACACAGCACACTCCCTGTGCCCCCAAATGGTCTTTTGCTCAACATCACATCTGTGAGGTTTCCTGTGGGTGGTCACCGGTTCTTTCCTTTTGACCACTGTGTGTCACTGTGTGCTGTCCACGGCCTCTTTCTTAGAGAGAGGGTCTGAGCCCCTGGGCTGTTCAGGACACTGTCCCAGGCACCAGGGTAGGGAGGGTGGCAGTGGGTGCGGTGGGGGCTCAGATCCCTTGAGGGGGATACCCAGCCTGACAAGGGTGGAGTGGGTGTGTACACAGAGGGCTTTGCATGTGAGGGAAGCAGAGTGGGTACTTCACAGTGCTATTCAAAATTAAGGAAACTGGCCATCGAGGTGGCTCATGCTGGAATCCCAGCCTCCTCTGGCTGAGGCAAGACAATCACTTGAGCCCAGGAGCTCAAGACTAGCCTTGGCAACTGCAAAACCCCATCTCTACAAAAAATAGAGGAAGTTAGCTGGGTGTGGCGGTGCACGCATGTGTTCCCCACTGCTTGTGAGGCTGGGTGTGGCGGTGCACGCACGTATTCCCCGCTGCTTGTGAGGCTGGGTGTGGCGGTGCAAGCATGTATTCCCCGCTGCTTGTGAGGCTGGGTGTGGCGGTGCATGCACGTATTCCCCGCTGCTTGTGAGGCTGGGTGTGGCGGTGCATGCACGTATTCCCCGCTGCTTGTGAGGCTGGGTGTGGCGGTGCATGCATGTATTCCCCGCTGCTTGTGAGGCTGGGTGTGACGGTGCATGCATGTATTCCCCGCTGCTTGTGAGGCTGGGTGTGGCAGTGCATGCATGTATTCCCCACTGCTTGTGAGGCTGAGGTGGGAGGATTGCTTGAGCCCAGGAGATTGAGGCTGCAGTGAGCTGTGGTCACACCACTGCCCTCCAGCCTGGGTGACAGAGCAGGACTCCATCTCACAAATTAGGGAGGCCATTCATCTGCAGGGTCCAGTGCCCAGCCGGCCTTCCATCAGTGCCAACCCTGAGGATTAGAGGGGGATTGAGCTGGAAGTGTCGGTGGTGTGGTTTGTCTGAGGAAATAGAGAACCTTAGACTCAAGGGGAAGCTTGGCAGCAGCAGTGGGACATACCATGACAGGGCCACAGTCATCGGAGAAACCGACTGGGCTTCACCCACAGAGAGGACGGGCCCTGGGCCCTCTCGGTCCTTTGGTGGCGGTCCTTGTCCAGGAGTCATCCCGAAGTCCTCTGGGATTTGAGCAGAGGGTGTCTGAGCGGGGATGCCTCGTGGCATGGCATGGGCACAGTCGTTCTGCCTCCAGAACGTGGGAGCGTGGGAGAGGCCGTGTGCACGTCAGCACCAGAGAGTGCCCAGCCCATCCTGCCGCACCGCACGGCATACAGGCCCCTTGGTGAGGCCAGGTTGCTTCTGGGGCCATGGGAGGTTCTAGACCGTTCTTGTAAGGATGGATCCTGTCAGACCCAGCGTGTTTCCTGCCGATTGTCTTTGGCCAATGCTGGCCGGGCCCCTCCCCGTCTTCCCTGGAAAGCATCAGAGCATTCCCCCCACAAGCTTGTGGATTTCACCAGTGCTCAGAGCACGGCCTTCCCCATGAGCCAGGTGACCAAGGGCTTCCCAAGGTCACTCCCACCGTCTCATAGCACCCCTGCTGCCATGTCCCCATTTTACAGAGAGGGAGACTGAGCCTGGGGCTGGGGCTGGAGGAGGCTGGCAGCCTGGGGCCCAACCAGGGGAGCCCGCTCTTCACAGCCCAGGAGCTGCAGGAAGGGCCTGGGGATTCTGACCGTCACTGCTACCTGGCCCCTGGAGAAAACCTATGGTGCAGCCTCCAGTTTTCCTGCCCCTGGGAACTCCAGAGGGAGGCAGAGAGCAATTATGACCCAACAGAGACCTTTGACCCAGCCCCTAGAGTAGAATGTGCCTAAATAAGGCTCTGAGCCCGACAGCCTGGGTTCAAATCCCAGGCCCGCCATTCACTTGCTCTGTGACCTGGAACAAGTCACTTAACCTCACTGTGCCTTGGTTTCCTTCTCTGCAAAAGTATTAAATTCCAGCTCTTCCCTCCTGGGTTGCTGGGGAGATGGGGTGAGGAACACAGACCAGGGATGGCATGCGGTAAGAACTGGGGAGGCACAAGCCATCTTCGACACAGGCTGGCTTTACACATTTGAAAAATGCCTTAAAAGGGGGTCCCGGCAGCTTTTCAGTGCTAAGGTGTTGGGATCTGGGGGCCCTGACAGTGTCCAGAGCAGTGTTGATGGAAGCGGGGCCATGGGGGTGTCTGGGGGCTTACAGCCAGCCAGGGCAAAGGGACTGGGTGGAAAGGCATCTTGTAGCTCGCTTCTGCAGACTCGCTGGGATTCTGGAATTCTCTAGACTCTCTGTGCACAGGGGCGGAGCTGGGACAGCCGCGTTTGCTGCTTCACACAGCATGCGCCTTCCTCCCTGACCTGTCAGGGACTCAAGCCGGCCTTGGAAGAGGACTAGGGCCTCACGTGGTGGGTCCGTCTGATGGTTGTTTTTGGTCTGTTCTCAGGGGGAACTGGATTGGAGAAGCCCCCTATAAGAATGGCCGGCCCTGCTCTGAGTGCCCGCCCAGCTACGGAGGCGGCTGCAAGAACAACTTGTGTTACCGAGGTAGGAAACTCACTCCCAACGCTTTCACAAACAATTTGCCCTCAGTCTGAGTCATGCAACAGCGTTACATATAATGGGGGAATGAACGAAGTAAAAGTCAGCCCTACCCTGCCTTACTGAAGACACTGTTAGCACATTCCTCTCGGCTCCATGATGAGCTGAGCCTCACCTCCAGGGTCTGGGCTCAGCTTCCAGGCCCCTGGAAAGCCCCACTACCCCGAGACGTGGCTTCTCTTGGGCGTCTCTGTGCCTGGCTCCTCGGATGTTGCACACGGCATTAAACGCAGACGCACTGCTCACCCTTGTTAGTGTTCATAGTTTTATATCAAATAGGCTGGGGGCCAGGCGCAGGGGCTCATGCCTGTAATACCAATACTTTGGGAGGCCAAGGCAGACAGATCACCTGAGGTCGGGAGTTCAAGACCAGCCTGACCAATATGATGAAACCCTGTCTCTACTAAAAATACAAAAAAAAAAATTAGCCAGGCACGGTAGCATATGCTTGTAATCCCAGCTACTCAGGGGGCTGAGGCAGGGAAATCACTTGAACTCTTAAGGCGGAATTTGCAATGAGCTGAGATCATGCCATTGCCCTCCAGCCTGGGCAACAAGAGGGAAACTCTGTCTCAAAATAATAATAATAATTACTGTGTGCCCAAGGTCTCTGGCTAGATGGGTCACAAAGCACTCAGTTCATGATTGGCAGTTCAGGTCGCATGGTGACTTGGTGACCCATAGCCATCAAGTGGTTCAGTTTCCACCAAAGCCCAGTAATAGGCCAAGAGCTTTCTCTCAAAAGGAAAGTCGTTATCTGCAGAAGATGGCAGGGCCTTGCTCTAAAATCCTAGAGGCCTCTGCTGTGATTTTCCTGTGGTGGCTGCCAAAGGGCCCACACAGCATCCCTGTCTGCCACTGACGCCTCAGGCACCATTGGAGCTGCTGGGTCCTGTGGCCCAAGTGTCAGAGCAGCTCACACAGCAGCCTGGGCCTGCTGCAGAGCCTTCTCCTGTTCTGGACCCCACTCAGAACTGCAGCCTTTTGGGTCAGTCGATAAATGAGCCAATGTAACACACCCAGATGAGGAATGTGTTGCCTCCAAAATCCAAATAGGCCCCTAGGCGCTGTGCCCCTTTCTGGACTGTAGGCGGGGCCAAGTGCAGTAACTTACCCTTCACCTTAGGAGGAATATCTCCACAGGCCTCATGCCACTGGACCCCTAGAAATTTTAAGGTAGAAGTTTCCTGAATTTTAGTCAAATTTATTTCCCATCCTCCGGCATGCAAATGTCTCACCAGTGAGTCCGGCGTGTTTGCTGCTGCCTGTTCACTGGATCCAGCCAGCATGATGTCATCAGTGCAGGGGACCAGTGTGATATCTTGCAGAAGCGAACGCTGTCAAGTGCTCTCTGAATCAGATTACGACACAAAGCCAGAGAGTTGATATGCCCCTGAGGCAGCACAGTAGAGGCATATCACTGTCCTTGCCGCTGAAGGCAGGTTGCTTCTGGTGGCCTCGTGGACAGGAACGGAGAAAAAGGCATTTGCCAAGTCAGTGGCTGCACACCAGGTGCCAGGAGACGTGTTAACTTGCTCAAGCAATGAAACCCCATGTGCTGCAGCAGCTGCAGCTGGAGTCACCACTGGGTTAAGCTTATGATAATCCACTGTCATTCTCCAAGATCCATCTGTCTCCTGCACAGGCCAAATGGGAGCGTTGAACGGGGATGTGGTGGGAATCGCCACCCCTTCGTCTTTCAAGTCCTTGATGGTGGCACTAATCTGTGCAGTCCCTCCAGGGATGTGACAGTGTTTTGGATTTACCTTTTTTCTAGGGAGAGGCAGCTCTAACGGCTTCTGTTTGGCCTTTCCCACCATAATGGCCCCACCTCACCAGTCTGGGAGCCAATGTGGGGCTTCTGCCAGCTGCTAAGTATGTCTATGCCAGTTATGCATCCTGGCACTGGGGAAATGACCACAGGATGAGTCCAGGGACCCACTGTAAGCGAGACCTGAACTAAAACTCCATTAATCACTAACCTCCGTAAGCCCTTACGTTAACTAGAGGACCACGATGACATTTTGGGTCCCCTGGAACCAACGTCAGCTCAGAGCCAGTGTCCGGTAGTCCCCAAAATGTCTGATCATTTCCCTTTCCCCAGTGCACAGTCACCCCGATGAAAGGCAGAGGTCTCCTTGGGGAAGGATGGGAGAAAGAGTAACAACATAAATTTTTGGTAGCATAGTGGGGTTCTTCCTCAAGGGGACCCAGCTTCCCCTTCATTCAAGGGGTTCTGGGTCCGTAAACTGGCTCAGGTCTGGAAATTGATAGAGAGGCCGTGATTCTCTGTTTTGATAATTCAAATTAGTCTTTGGTCCACTGGACCTAGAAGTTTTCTGCTTATGTAAATTAAGTGGGAATGCAGTGGGCTTCCTATCAGTTTCAGTTCTAGGAGCAGCACAATTGATTAGCCCGTGCCAGAACTCTACACGAGTCAAACTACTCTGACTGCTGCTTTGCCTCTGCTTTCCATTATGGTAGCTGTACCCACCTTGCCTTTGACAATTCAGTGCTGCCACTTGGCCCTTACCACCTTGGGATTCAGTTATTCCCACCATTGTATTTAAATTTTGTAGTTGAGTGACTGCAGTTCCCACCATTAGATCTGACATACAGGGCTCTTCACAGATGCAGGCGCTGCCTTTACAAATCTGTTTCACAAGGCATTCATCAGGAGTATATATTCTGGACTCTCCCCACTGGGATGCGTAGGCCCAAAGTGACTCATCCCCTCCACCATCCGATACGGTAAACCGAGGGAGATCAGGCACTTCCAGTTTGCTCTCAGTGGGCCACCTTTTAATCTACATTTCAGCTAACCAGCAAATAAAGAAGTGAAGAATCTATTATGACTGCCTTAGCTGCCACATTAAATGCAGGATCCCTATTTAGTGGGCCCAAATCAATACATTTAGCCTGATCCAACTCTCTGTTCCTTCCACCATTATCCCACACCTTAATATCCATTCCCATGCCTGCTCTCCAGATTTCTGCTTATATACGTTAGAAAACTCAAGCAGTTATTTTTGAGTGTAGCACACCTCCTGTGTGTCCCACTCTGAACCTCACCTCTAGGTGCCCACCAGGACTTTAGTTACAGGTCTGGAAACAGACAGGGGTGTTGGGAGTGGCTCCTGAGCCAAATCAACATTGTCTTGCCTGGCATCAGCCTCAGGGGAGGCCATCATGTTGCCTCAGGCAGTGCAGGGTTTATCCCCTTAGACAGAGGTGGGAAGGCTGATGGCGGCATGTGTCAGGGAGGCGATGTTGCCACTACTGGGGTTGGGGGTTGTTTCTTCTGGCAAAAAAAAGGTTCATCAGCATTTACAAGCTCAGTGTCCCCAGCTTCAACAGGGTCCTCCCACATGTCCCCATTCTAAGTTGCGGGCTCCCATTCCTTTCCAATCAGTGTCCTCACTTTAATAGCGGACACCTGGCGAGGCTGTGCATACACCTTGGTTGCAGGTCAACCACTTGCATGAGAAGAGCCTGTGTCTGTTTTCCCACAATTTCAGCTCTTCCTCTACAGGAGATAAGGCGTACTTGGGAGGATCCTAGCAGATTTGAGGCTCAGGATCTGCTTCCGCAGCCGGGAGTTAGGACCCCTGAGGTCACCATTTCTTTCATCACTTTGCCCAGTGAACTCAGGAGCAACCAACCAGCTTCACTATGTCCCTTGGTTCTCCGTATATGGTCAAAGGTGTTCTGTATAGAGTCACTAAACTCGCCTCTCGAGCACTGAGTCAGGAGTGTCAAATGCATTTATTCTGCATGACTTTCTAAAACAGGTCATGCCAAGGACTGTCGGCGTTCTCCATACGATTAGAAGTAGAGTCTTTAGCATTTTGGGGTCTAATCATATTAAGCAGCCAACTCCAGAGACCCTGAAACCAATGAAAGAACTCCATCCTTAATATTCTCTTCCTCTAGGACCACTCCTGGCACCAAAATCTGTATTAGCCAGGGTTCTCTAGAGGAGCAGAATAGGGTAGATATATAGGTAAAGGGGAGTTAATTAAGGAGTTTAAACTCGTCACACAATCACAAGGTCCCACAATAGGCTGTCTGCAAGCCGAGGAGCAAGGAAGCCAGTCCAGGTCCCAAAGCTGAAGAACTTGGAGTTCGATATTCGAGGGCAGGAAGTATCCAGCACGGGAGAAAGATGGAGGCTGGGAGGCTAAGCCCATCTAGCCTTTTCACAGTGCTCTGCCTGCTTTATATCCTGGCCACTCTGGGAGCTGATTAGATGGTGCCCACCCAGATTGAGGGTGGGTCTGCCTTTCCCAGTCCACTGACTCAAATGTTAGTCTCCGCTGACAGCACCCTCACAGACACACCCAGGATCACCCTGCATCCTTCAGTCCAATCAAGCTGACTCTCAGTATTAACTATCACAGGCCAGGAGTTCAAGGTCAGCCTGGAGTACATAGCGAGAACCCATCTCGACAAAAAGTAAAATAGAAAATTAGCCAGGTGTGGTCATGCACACCTATGGTCCAGGCTATGACCTAGGAGGCTGAGGTGGGAGGAGCACTTGAGCCCAGGAGTTTGAGACTGCAGCGAGCCGTGATGTTACCACTGCACTCCAGCCTGGGCCACGCAGCCAGACCCCAACGCTAAAAAAATAAAACAATAAAACAGACATTCGAACAAGAAAGTAAAAGCAAACAACGTGATATTCCAAATGCACTCACTAGCGGGAAGCACCCGCAACGAGGATGGCTGGGCAGGATCATTCCTCCCGGGCTGTTTGGCCTTTCCTACTGTGTTCTTGCCCCTCTGGCCTTCCCATCAGGCATGTCTTGCTCATGCTCCCCCAACTGTGCTAAAGGTTTCTGTCCCCCACTCCTACAGCAGTCAAAACTGGAGCTGCTGGAAGCAGTGTGATTTTCTACCTAGTTCACCATTTTTTTTTTTTTTTTTTTTTTTGAGACGTGGCCTCCCTTTGTTGCCCAGGCTGGAGTGAGATGAACTTTTGCTCTGTCACCCAGGCTGGAGTGCAGGGCGCAATCTCGGCTCACTGCAGCCTCTACCTCCCGGGGTCAAGCGATCCTCCTGTCTCAGCCTCCCGAGTAGCTGGGACTACAGGCACATGCCACCACAGCTAATTTTTTAAGTTTCTTATAGAGATGGGATCTCACTATATTGCCCAGGCTGGTCTCAAACTCCCAGCTTAAGCAATCCTTCCTCCTCAGCCTCCCACAGTGCTGGGATTCCAGGCACTCACCATTTCTTTATTGGTTTCCAATCAGGATGTGTCCACGTCTTCTGCTACTATAAAAACACAGGTTTCTTATGTTTTGGGATATTTCCTCGGGCTCCCAGAAGTTGTGTCCCCAGTGTGGCGTGGCTGGGCTGGGGCTGACCACGAGCCCAGGCTTGTTTTTTTGCATGGCTCCATCAGCAGCCTTGTCATGACCGAGGGGCCTTGCAGAGGTTTGGGTTAGCTCCACTGGCAGGAGAGGGTGGGATAGATACAGGGTCAGGCTGGCAGGCTCTGAAGTGGAGAACAGGTGGGCTCGATCAGGGGTCCCAGACCCTCTCGGGAGCCAGGCTCTCTTGTCCCAGCCAGCTGTTCATGGCTGACTCTGCCTGCTGGGGACAAGGGACATCCTCAGCAGGGACGGGGACAGAAGAAGCAGTGATCTGGACACTGAGACAGACCATCTGGGTCTTTTCTGCAAAATCTGCTATGACAAATCAGTTTGTGCCCAGTCCTCTGGGTCATGTGTCATGTGTGGCAGTCCTGGTGTGACCCTCGCCTCCGGGGAGCCTTCCTGGACTTCACAGACAGTGCACCTGCCTATATTCATCACCCTCCAGACTCCTTGGGAACCTTGATGGTCCTGTTGCCTCAGCTGTCAGCTCACTCCGGGGTCTCCGGGGGCACATGGTATGGGTGCCCTACGTGTTGTTTGAATAAATATGCCAATAGTCACAGAGGGGCATTTTCAAAGAACGAATGTGTACAGATACCTTAGATGCCAGTCTACCCCTGCCAACATAGCTCTGTGTGCTGATTCTTTAAATTTTTGGTGGGAATATTCAGCTTCCCTTGGCTGGCATCCCAGTTTTCAGAGCCGATTCTGCAGCACGTCTCCTCCGAAGCAGCTTATCTGCAGAAGCTACTTACCAGGGGCATTTCCAGGGGCTTGGTAAGGTCTTGACCTCTCACAGAGAAGAAGCAGGCGTAAGGATATTAAAAAAGAGGTTTCTGGGCCGGGCTCGGTGGCTCACACCTGTAATCCCAGCACTTTGGGAGGCCGAGGTGAGTGGATCACGAGGTCAAGAGATCGAGACCATCCTGGTCAACATGGTGAAACCCGGTCTCTACTAAAAATACAAAAAATTAGCTGGGCATGGTGGCACGTGCCTATAATCCCAGCTACTCAGGAGGCTGAGGCAGGAGAATTGCCTGAACCCAGGAGGCGGAGGTTGCGGTGAGCAGAGATCGCGCCATTGCACTCCAGCCTGGGTAACAAGAGCGAAACTCCATCTCAAAAAAAAAAGAGGGTTCTCCCCTCCCACTCCTGCCGGTGTGGTGATGGTGACCGAAGGCACAGGCTTCCGGGAAAGGCGGTTTGACTCCCATCCCCGCTGCTCCCCAGCGGTGTGAGCCTGGGCAGGGCCTTACCCTTTCTGGGCCTGCTTCCTCGCCTGTGAAATGCAGCCAGTCATGCCTCTGAAGGCAACGTGAGGTTGACGGGAGAAAACGCGGGGAGGGCCCAGCCGGCCTCTGGCCCGTGCTCAGTGAACATCAGCACTGTGTAGAACCAGGTGGGAATCTGCAGAGTGAAACAATCAATGCCCTGGGCCCTGAGACCCCCAGCCCGGAGCGGGATGGAGCATAGAATAACCTTGCCGTGACCTCTGCACGGAATTTCCCCAGGCCCGTGCTGGGCCCTACAAGGTGCCTTAATTAGGAGGTACTCAGATCCAGCCCATCCTGCGGGTGAAGCCTTCCCCTTTTCCTGTGTGGGTGTGAGGGCCAGGACTGCCTGTCTGCCCATTTTCTTAAATAGAGAGTCCTCAAATGCTTTAGACCGCTTGACCAAACTCTCTTTGGCTAAATAAAGCTGCGATTATGAGGTCTAAACATGCTAAGGCCAGTGGAAGAAAACCCGGCGTATCCTCCAGCCAGCTCCCGCTCTCAGTGAGGGCAAGCCTGAATGGCCTCATTGACGGGGAGAACAGACGTGCCAACCTGGGGTCTTCCTGAAGCTTCCACTGGTAGCTTTTGCTGCCAGAGGTGTTTCCAGAGTTCCCACCTTGAATGTCTTTAAGCTCTTCTGCTGGACATACGCTCTTTTCTTTAGGTGACAGGATTCTCTGGGGGGTTTGATAATTCATGCATTAGGGTTTTTTTTTTTTTGAGATGGAGTTTCCCTTTTGTTACCCAGGCTGGAGTACAATGGCGCGATCTCGGCTCACCGCAACCTCCGCCTCCTGGGTTCAGGCAATTCTCCTGCCTCAGCCTCCTGAGTAGCTGGGATTACAGGCACGCACCACCATGCCCAGCTAATTTTTTGTATTTTTAGTAGAGACGGGGTTTCACCTTGTTGACCAGGATGGTCTCGATCTCTTGACCTCGTGATTCACCCACCTCGGCCTCCCAAAGTGCTGGGATTACAGGTGTGAGCCACCGTGCCCGGCCCAATAATTCATGTATTTGACGAATTTGTTGAGCGGCTGCTGTGTGCTGGGTGCCAGGTGTGAAGCAGGCTGGCCCCTGGCGTCTGGAAGTTTGCAGCTGGTGGATGGGGCAGGTGATGGGGAAATGACAGCCATGAGCAAGCTGCTGGGGAGCAGTATAGGGCGACCCATGAACACGTCCAACATTAGACCTTGGGACCAGAATGGCTTCCCACCTTCTGACCTAAACCCGTCCCTTCCCCTGTGGGACAGGACCAGCCTGGGGCAGTGGTTGTAGGGTAGTGAGATTGGCCAGTGAAGCAGCTACAGGGTGCCCTGGCCGGGGAAGTCATCAGGGAGTCACTCATTTGTCCCTCATTTGGGGGTTGGGTGTTGTGTAGACACAATACCTGGTCTGTCCTTCAGCAGAGAAAGCTTATGTATTTTAAGGAGTGGAAATAAGACTTCGGAACTGAGGAACACTTGATGGAATTTTTTTTTTTTTTTTTTTTTTTTTTGAGACAAAGTTTCGCTCTGTTGCCCAGGCTGGAGTGCAGTGGCGTGATCTCGGCTCACTGCAACCTCCGCCTCCCTGGTTCAAGCAGTTCCCCTGCCTCAGCCTCCCGAGTAGTTTACAGGTACCCACCAGCATGCCCAGCTAATTTTCGTGTTTTTAGTAGAGATGGGGTTTCACCATTTGGCCATGTTGGTCTTGAACTCCTGACCCCAGGCATTCCTCTCACCTTGGCCTCCCAAAGTGCTGGGATTACAGGTATGAGCCACCACGCCTGGCCCTGAAACTTGGACTTTAATCCAAAATCACTAAGAGACCTGCGAGGGTGCTCTAGTTATTCTCCTTGAAATTGTTTTCCCCCAAACACATCTATTACCTGTTTTGTTTGGGGAGCTTGGAGGCCACAGGTTTCCCACTCTGGTCCAGAGACCTCTGTTGTAGCATGGGAGGTGCATGCCGTGAATGAAGGTGGGAAGGGGGCCAGCAGAGAGGCTCATGACCTTGCCCTTGATCGGGCAACTCAGGCCTTATCAGGAAACAGCAGTCAGTTTATTTGCTTCAGCTGAAATGTACAGATGGGTCTCCTTATGGTCTAATTGCAGATGCTGGTGAGGAGTTTATAGTTGTCTTTTGGGATGAAAACTGGAAGAGAAGCTAACTGAGGGTTAATAAGTGCAATCCGTTTGGTTAATTAAAATGTTTAAAACATGGGTCACGGTCATAGTTGGAGAAATAATGTACAGTGTCGTGAGCGAGGAAAAGATGGGGACCTGCTGAACTACATTTTTTTAAAAACCAGGAGTTGGGTCTTTGGATAGTTCTACATGTTGAGTCTGACATGACTGGGCAGCAAAACTCCAGCACAGAAGATCGAGTGAGCTGGTTCAGTGGCCCTGACTCGCAGGGGGAGAGAAGGGATGGACATAAGTGTGCTGGTATGACGTGCAGTTGGGTTCTCAGAGCAGTGACGGTGGCCTTTGTGCAGCATGGTGAGAGCGTGATGAGGAAGACCCCCTCCGCCAGTGTAAACCCGAGGGCACGGGACCGCCCGGGGGCCGCTACGGCTTTGGGCCAGTGGTTGAGGCAGCTGCTGCTGCTGCTTTTTTTTTTTTTTTTTTTTTGAGACGGAGCTTTGCTCTTGTCACTAGTGCAATGTCATGATCTCAGCTCACTGCAGCCTCCGCCTCCTGGGTTCAAGCAATTCTCTTTCCCCAGCCCCCCAGGTACCTAGGATTACAAGCGCCTGCCACCATGCCCAGCTAATTTTTGTATTTTTAGTAGGAATGGGATTTTGCCATGTTGGCGAGGCTGATCTCAAACTCCTGACCTCAGGTGATCCTCCAACCTCAGCCTACCAAAGTGCTGGGATTATGGGCATGAGTCACCACGCCGGGCCTAAGGCAGCTTCTTGAAGTCGCTTCCTGGGGCAGAGGGTCAAGTAGAGGAGGAGATGGGACAAGAAACCATCGTGATAAGCCTGGTGTGGGCATGGGGCCTGGTAACCTCTGGGCAGCCTGGCTGATCGTGGGTCCAGAGCAAACACAGTGAGCAGAAAACGTCCCCATCCCATCTGGGCTGGGAGAATTCCACCTGGCCAGTTCTGTTCTGAAACGTATCTTTGTCTTTGCCACTGAAATGATTCTTTGTAAAACCAAACCTCAAACAAGTTTAGTTTTCAGATGGCTTTTCCCCCCAAAGTGCGTTTTTCTTGAATCCCAGTGTGTGATTTCTTTTTTCCTTCCTCTCCACTATTAAGAAGAGACCCACACCCCAAAACCTGAAACAGACGAGATGAACGAGGTGGAAACAGCTCCCATTCCTGAAGAAAACCATGTTTGGCTCCAGCCGAGGGTGAACAGACCCACCAAGCCCAAGAAAGCCTCCGTGGTCACCTACATGAGTGAGTCCCGGCCACTGCCTACAGCCGCCTGCTCTCCTGGCCACTTCCAAAGGGGACGGGTGGGTGTTGGAGGGGAGCTAGTGGATTTAGGTCTCCAAGTCCACAAACACTGGGGAACAGGGTGCGGCGAAGCTCATGGGAGCACAACCCTAAGACGTTTTTCAAAAGGGATATTTTTAAGTCATTTCAAAAGCAAGCATTACAGGAGTCGAGCTTGGGTGGCATTGTTTTTCCCCCAGGCAGGTATTTTAAGGTTAGACCTTCCCTGGTCCTTTCACAAGGGACCTGGGCTGAAGTCGGGTTCCTCTGGGAAGTGCTGGCCCTGCTGAGGGCAGGCAGTGTCCCTCCTGGCTCTGGCAGGCTCCACTCATTCCTCACCGGGTCTCGGCTCTGGGACTCAGTGGGCTCATCCATGAAGTGGGGGCAGTGATGCCACATCGGCGTTGCCCAGAGGATGAGTTAAAGCAACGTGAGTCACCCGGGGCCAGCTGAGGCCTCCCTGTACGTTGAGATCACTGCAGAGTTGCCTGTAATCCCCCTAGAGATGGTTCCCCCTCACTGAGACTTCTGGGAATCCCCCAAATATCAACTGTTCCCCTGCTTGCCTCTGCCCTTTGGGCTCCCCGGACACCTCAGCTCCTCCAGCTGTTGTTCTCGCCGTCTTCACCTCCCCAGGGTGGAGTTCAGCTCCCTTTCCAATTCCCCAGACACTACTGCGGGACCTCGATCGCAGCCACCCTTTCTGCAGGCCAGGGCTGTGGAGGGGCGTTTTCACTCGGCGTGGCTGGGGGCCAGGGCTGTGGAGGGGCGTTTTCACTCGGCGTGGCTGGGGACCTGGGCTGTGGAGGGGCGTTTTCACTCGGCATGGCTGGGGGCCTGGGCTGTGGAGGGGCGTTTTCACTCGGCATGGCTGGGGACCTGGGCTGTGGAGGGGCGTTTTCACTCGGCATGGCTGGGGACCTGGGCTGTGGAGGGGCGTTTTCACTCGGCGTGGCTGGGGGCCTGGGCTGTGGAGGGGCGTTTTCACTCGGCGTGGCTGGGGGCCTGGGCTGGATGCCCTTGGCTCTCTGTTTGCCCCACAACCCTCAAAGTCCCTACACCTGGCCCCGTTTGAGGAGCAGCCTCATACTCACCTCCTTAGAACCTCTCTCTTCTTTTCATAAGTACCTTCTCCCCGCCCCACCAGTTTCTCTGTCCTCTTCAAACGTCTTTGCCGTGATGTTGAATCATTCTGTAGCTTGCTTTCACCAGGAGATATCCTGAGACCCTTGTCTGTCCAGGAGTTCAAAACAGCACCATTGTTTCTCTTAATGACATACAACAGTTAAGTCCCTTTTCCAACCATAACAGGACTCCGACACTCTGATATGTCCCCATAAAATAAAGCAAAAAGCTTTGCAGAAGGCATGTTGGCAGTGGATGGGATGACTCGGGTGAGCCTGGCTGGGTCCCCCGCCCCACAAGCTTGGAGCAGGGGCCTCCCTGCCCCTTGTCAGTCCTGCTCTGCAGAGCCCTGTGGGACCACAGGCGCACAGTGTGTGCAGGCACCCTCCAAGGCCAGGTTCACTTTCTCACTCAGTGCTCACAAAAGTCATTGAAGGCGGGTTACTGTCACTGTCCCCTTGTTCATATGCAGGAAATGAACCTCAGACAGGGGAAGTAACTTGTCCATGGTCACGCTGCTACTGTAGATCGGTAGGCCTGGGGTCTGAGCCCTGAGCCCCCAGTGGAAGCCTGCAACCATCAGGCGGGCCTTGCTCTTAGGACAGCAGGGATTGGATTGCAGAATGCTCTGGGATGTCTCTCAGTGTGGGGAAAGGTCTTCTTACCCTCCCGCTTTGTGCCGTGATGTGTGTTTCTGCATTTCTCTCCTAGCGCAAGTCGTCAGATGTGACACCAAGATGAAGGACAGGTGCAAAGGGTCCACGTGTAACAGGTGAGCCAGGGCTGGGCTGGGCTGTCCTGCCGCTGCTAATTTACCAAGCTGCTTTCACTAGGCAGAGCAGGGGTTAGGGCTGGGTAGTGTCCGGGCATGTGTTGGCCTCGGGCATTGGCAGATCCTATGGGACTGCTGCTGGATCTGAGCAGGGCTGCTCCCAGTGGGCCCCACTGGACAGACGGGCCACCGGTGTGTCCCCTGTGGTAGGTGAATAAATCCATTTAGCCGATGCAGTCATTCACATGATGAACACTGTCTGTCAAAAAGAACGCGTTTGGGCCAGCGTGGTGGCGCACACCTGTAATCCCAGCACTTTGAGAGTCCGAGGTGGGCAGATCACTAGGTCAAGAGATCGAGACCATCCTGGTCAACATGGTGAAACCCCATCTCTACTAAAAATACAAAAAATTAGCTGGGCGTGGTGGCGCGTGCCTGTAATCCCAGCTACTGAGGAGGCTGAAGCAGGAGAATTGCCTGAACCCAGGAGGTGGAGGTTGCAGTGAGCCGAGATCACGCCATTGCACTCCAGCCTGGGTAACGAGCGAAACTCCATCTCAAAAAAAAAAAAAAAAAAAAGAGAAATCGAGATCGTCCTGGTCAACATGGTGAAACCCCATCTCTACTAAAAATATAAAAATTAGCTGGGCGTGGTGGCGCGTGCCTGTAATCCCAGCTACTGAGGAAGCTGAGGCAGGAGACTCGCTTGAACCTGGGAGGTGGAGGTTGCAGTGAGCTGAGATCGCACCACTGTACTCCAGCCTGGTGACAGAGCAAGACTGCATTTCAAAAAAAAAAAAAAAAAAACCAAAAGAACGAGTTTGGTTTTAGCTGTGTGACTGCAGGCTGCTCTCCCTGGTAGCGAACAGCCCACAGGTGCAGCCGCCACTCGCACACCCTCAGGGTGGAGGTGGGAAAACCGTGCCATTGGGGGAGGGGGCCTTGCTTGTGTTCCTACAAATTCATTCAGTTTGCTGAAAGCTGAATTGAGTCATTTAAAGCCCACGTTAAAAAGAGAAGGTGGAATCTGCGGTTTTACATCACAAGGATTTGGGATTTGCTTGCCAGGAGAACACCTTACCTAGGTGTCAGCAGGACGCTGATGAGATGGACTGGAGCAGCCGGGATGAGGCAGCTCAGTGCGCTCACACGTGTTACTGTGGTGAGAGGAGCCTGACGGATCAACAGTCAGCAGTGGAGTAATCGTGCCTAGAACCTCCAGATCAGGGTTAGGGTGCCATTGGCGTGTCTCTGTGCCGGGTGAATTGGGAGGAAGCAGGCATCGCCTGGCAGGGGCATCCACCGTGTGCACTGCCGTATCCGGGGCTGCTGAGGAGCTGGAGTTGTGCTTTTGTGGTGATGCGTCTTTCTGAACGCTCAGCACATCTTGAGACCGTCACACCTGAGTAGTACCGAGTTAAAAAAGTGAACAGGTGTTGGAGAACGTTCCTTGTCAGACAATGTCAAGGCAGTTCCAGAGCTGGGGTGGGTGGGGCACCCCCGTGCAGGGAGAAGGCTGTTAGAGGCCTCCGGTCAAGAAATGTTAGCCCCAATCTGCAACTGTAGGACCACGCCTAGTCCTGCTGTAGAAGCTGCCCCACAGTCTGCCATGCCTCTTTTCTGTACATGGTGCTTTTACAAAAATAATAGTCAGTGGGCTCTTTTATTTCTGACTTGAAGCGGGATCCATGCTCATTAATACTGATTCAGGAATGCAAATAACAACAACAAAAAAGTAGAAAGAAAAAAATGTGTCCCGGAATCTCATCAATACCAGTAGCAATTGGATGTGTTTCCTTCCAGTCCTTTTTTCTGTGCACGGATGAGGCTAATGCTGTTTATGTATTTTCTGGTCTTTTTTTTTTTTTAAGTTGGAGTCTTGCTTTGTCTCCAAGGCTGGAGTGCAGTGGCGCCCTCTTGGCTCACTGCAACCTCTGCCTCCTGGGTTCAAGTGATTCTCTCACCTGAGCCTCCCAAGTAGCTGGGACTACAGGCACGTGCCACCACGGCTGGCCCATTTTTTGTATTTTTGGTAGAGATGGGGTTTCACCATGTTGGCCAGGCTGGTCTCAAACTCCTGACCTCAGGTGATCCACCTGTCTTGGCCTCCCAAAGTGCTGGGATTACAGCATGAGCCACCACGCCCAGCCTCTTATGTATTTTAGCTTAGTATTTTCCAAAGTCACTAAATATGCCTCACATACTTCATGCTTAGTGGCTGCATGATGCTCTGCCACACAGATGCACATGAACATGTTTAGCCATTGCTTTGCTACCTGCTGGCTAACTTCCAGCTTTTCACCATTAGAAACAGTTGTGGCCAGGTGTGGTAGCTCACACCTGCAATCCCAGCACTTTGACAGAACTGGGGTGGGTGGATCACTTGAGGCCAGGAGTTTGAGGCCAGCCTGGCCAACATGGTGAAACGCTTTCTCTACTAAAAATACAAAAATTAGCCAGGTGTGGTGGCGCACACCTATATTCCCAGCTACTGAGGAGGGTGAGGCACAAGAATCGCTTGAACCCAGGAGGTGGAGGCTGCAGTGAGCTGAGATCGCGCCGCTGCACTCCAGCCTGGGTGACAGAGCGAGAACCTGTCTCAAAAATTAAAAAAAATAAATAAATAAGTAGTTGGGAATATCCTTGCAGGTCTGGCTTTCTGACTGTTTGCTTGGAATATGTATTTACAAGGGAAACCGAAGAGCTAATGGATATGAATGGTCAAGCCTTTCTTAAAGGTTTTCTTAAGCATCAGAGTGATTTGTACTTCCACGAACACCACCACCATCGTTGAGTTTTACCCTATTAAAAAGTCCTCGCAGGCCAGGCATGGTGGCTTGTGCCTGTAACCCCAGCATTTTGCGATGCCAAGGTGGGTGGATCGCTTGAGCCCAGGAGGTCGAAACTAGCCTGGGAAACATGGCAAAACTCCCAAAATTAGCTGGGTATGGTTGGCACACCTGTAGTTCCAGCTACTTGGGATACTGAGGTGGGAGGATTACCTGAGCCAAGGAAGTTGAGGCTCCAGTGAGCTATGATGGTGCCATACACTCCAGCCTGGGTGATGGAGTGAGGCGCTGTTTTGGTTTTTTTTTTTTTTTTTTGAGACAGAGTCTTGCTCTGTCGCCCAGGCCAGAGTGCAGTGGCATGATCTTGGCTCACTACAACCTCTGCCTCCTGGGTTCAAGTGATTTTCCTGCCTCAGCCTTCTGAGTAGCTGGAACCATAGGCGCCTGCCACCACATCCAGCTGATTTTTGTATTTTTAGTAGAGACGGGGTTTTACTGTGTTGGCCAGGCTGGTCTTGAACTCCTGACCTCAGGTGATCTGCCTGCCTTGGCCTCCAAAAGTGCTGAGATTATAGGCATGAAGCCCCCATGCCTGCCCTTGTTTGTTTTTTTTTAATGAAAAAATATATGGTTGATCTTCTGTTTCTATGGATTCAACCAGCCTCCGATTCAGCCAACCTCAGATTCAACTGCCTGCAGATCAAAAATATATTTTTTTAAAAGGTATATGGTATTGCAGTACAATAATAAGAATGGTACAGAGTTTGGAAGCGATGTGGTGTAACAAGCCCCTACACAGCACTTACCTTGTGGTAGTTATTGTAAATCATCGAGAGATGCTTTAAAGCGTACGGGAACGACGCAAGGTTATACACAAACACTGGGACACTGCATAAGGGACGTGAGCATCCGCAGGCTTTGGAATCCTGGGGAGGATCTGGAAGCAAGGCAGACGGATGACCGCGTTGTGACTGTGCAAATATGAGCTTCACGCTGCACCTGGGTAAATCGTGACTTGTCCAAAAACAATGCAATCCGCAAGAGCGAAGCTTTTCTCTATTTAGTGACAGAGCTGGCGGTGAAAAGCGTGATGAGTCACGGTGAGATCTGGTCCACCTGCTTCTCTCTCAGCACCACTTGGTTTCTTCCTCCCCAGGTACCAGTGCCCGGCAGGCTGCCTGAACCACAAGGCCAAGATCTTTGGAACTCTGTTCTATGAGAGCGTGAGTGCCCAGCCCCTCTCTACGTGGCTAGTGTGGAATCCCATCACACATGTTTAAAGCAGGTGGTTGACTTTAGTAGGAAAAGATTTTCTTTCCACTCCTTAGTCAAACCTGGCGTTTCTAGAACTGGTACAGGTGTATATTTAAGGGCTGACAAACGGGCAAAGCCACTCTCGGGGACTGATCCTCCTGCAGGCCGGTCTCTGTCTTAGATGGAGCGTTCCCACGCTGGACTGAGTGTGGAGAAAGGGCTTTGTTTGTCACTGTTCTTAGTTTGAATCAGCTCGGATGAGTCTGTAAGGTAAGCAAGCCCAGAAGCAAATGTGCTGTATGGACAGGGGCGAGAAGCAGGAGCGGGGTGAACTTCAGCCCGTCCTTTGGGCTTTTAGTGAGTTGAGGACAAACGTTTGGGTATTTCTGATGAAAACTGCTGACAAACGTTAATTGAGAATCTATCTTTGATGTTGCCCTCCCCTCCCTCCAGTCGTCCAGCATATGCCGCGCCGCCATCCACTACGGAGTCTTGGACAACAAGGGAGGCCTAGTGGACATCACCAGGAACGGGAAGGTCCCCTTTTTCGTGAAGTCTGAGAGAAACGGTGTGCATTCCCTCAGGTAACTGTTCTGTGATCAGGGTTCCGTGAAAGTTTTCCTGTTTATGACAGTGTTGTGGAAACCGAAAAGTATCAAGCAGGCTGGGTACGGTGGCTCACGCCTGTAATCCCAGCACTTAGGGAGGTTGAGGCGGGTGGATTACCTAAGGTCAGGAGTTCAAGACCAGCCTGACCAATGTGGTAAAACCCCATCTTGACTAAAAATACAAAAATTAGCTGGGCGTGGTTGTAGGCGCCTATAATCCCAGCTACTCTCAAGAGGCTGAGACAAGAGAATGGCTTAAGCCTGAGGCAGAGGTTGCAGTGAGTCAAGATAGTGCCACTGCACTCCAGCCTGGGGGACAGGGTAAGACTCCATCTCAAAAAAAAAAAGAAAAAAGAAAACCCACAGCTCCGCTGCAAATGTGTTTTTATGATTTGATCATAATATTAAAAATAACTAACTTCCTTTGTAATGTTTCAAATTTATCTTTTTAAAATTCCTCTATCTTGCAGCTGTGCTTAGATTAAATTTATCTTAAACATTTGAAAAACTCATTCTTCTTAGAAGGGTCTATAGGCCTCACCAGGCTACCAGAAGCATCCTTGGTGCAGAAGTTAAGATGCCGTGCTCTAGAACATTCTAACAGCCCTCAGGCTGACAGGAAACAAATAGAAAAGTGTCCAGTCGAGACTGCAAATAAGATGGGCGCAGGAGCAAGTGTTCACTTTAGAAGCAATTCTGTTTGCATTTACCTAAATGGCTTTTTCTTTTTAAACAGCAAATACAAATCTTCTGGCTCATTCATGGTGTCAAAAGTTAAAGGTAAGCTGCTGGCCAGTCTCTTTTGTGACCGTCATACCTGGGTTATCTCAGATTTTCCTGGAAATTTCACTTCCTTTAATCACTGATTTAATGTGTGTCATGCCCGTGAATGCTGTTCTCATCGTTGTCAAGGGTTTTTCAAGAGGTCATTTCTTGAACCAGCTTCTAAGAATATCTGGACTGGAAATTGGCCCAAGATCACTGAGCCAGAAACACAGGGCTGAGGCTGCCAGCTGAATGCCACAGACGTACTGACGGCTAGGGCTAGAGTGTCTGAGAGGTTTCACTGGGAGTGCCACTTTCTGTCAATGGGTAATGGCTACCTGGGGTGTTGTGTTAAGGATTCTGAGGCCTCCATCTGGGCTCAGCAGAAAACAGAGCTTGATAGATTAGTAATGTCTGCCATGGGCAAGAAAGGGAGGGATAGGGAATCGCGTGGCACTGACTTGCCATTCTGGCCCAGCTTTTTACATTGCTCAGTGTATGTTCATTTGGAAGGTGGGATGCACGATGGGGGGACACACTCCAACCAGAAGTAGGGGGATGGATTATAGCTGCCCACACTGTACCTTTGACTGGAATAATCTCGGGCAAGCAGGGATTCAGGAGCCACTCCAGCTTCCTCCCCAGAGCTCTACCTGCAAACCATGCCTTTCCTTGGGGAAAACAACTCTCACCATTTGCCCTCGATGCAGAAGTTCTAGCTAGATATCTTTATTAAAATAGCTTTTCTTATTCTTGCAAAAAGAATGCCTAATTTGTTCCAGATAATTTAAACATGGAGTGGAACATCCGTTTGTAATGATAACCTGAATTCCAGCAGTCAACACTTTGGCGAATATTTCAGTTTGTTTTCTCTATGAATTAAAAGTATGTACATGGTCATATATACATTGATGACTTTTAAAACTTGAAATAGAATTACATATACTTTGGTAACCTGATTTTTTTCTTAAATAATTACATGTCTGACTGATGCAGTAGTTCACATCTGTAATCTCAGCACTTTGGGAGGCTGAGGCAGGAGGATGGCTTGAGCCTGGGAGTTTGAAACCAGCCCTGGCAACACAAGTCCCTGTCTCTACAAAAAAAATACACAAAATTAGCTGGGCAGGATGGCAGAGGCCTGTATCTCAGCTAGTGCGGAGTCTGAGATGGGAGGGTTGCTGGAGCCTGGGAGGGGAAAGCTGCCGTGAGTCACGATCGTGGCATCACACTCCAGCCTGGGGGACACAGCAAGACCCTGTTTCAAAACATGTATGTATGTGTCCGAAATACATTTTTGTGCCTTTAAATCAAGTTTGTCCAACCCACGGTTTATGGGCTGCTTGGGGCCCATTGAATGCGACCCAACACAAATTTGTAAACATGAGATTTACACATGGACCTTTTTTTTTTTTTGTAGCTTATTCTCTTTAGTGTTAGTGTATTTTATGTGCAGTAGCCCAAGATAATTCTTTTTCCAGAGTGGCCCAGGGAAGCCAAAAGACTGGACACCCTTGCATTTTTTTTTTTTTTTTTTTTTTTTTGAGACAGAGTTTTGCTCTGTAGCCCAGGCTGAAGTGCATGGAGCAATCTGGGCTCACTGCAACCTCCACCTCCTGGGTCCCAGTTCAGGCGATCCTCCTGCCTCAGCCTCCCGAGTAGCAGGGATTACAGGAACATGCCACCGTGTCCAGCTAGTTTTTGTATTTTTAGTAGAGATGAGGTCTCTCCATGTTGGCCAGGCTGGTCTTGAACTTCTGACCTCATGATCTGCCCACCTTGACCTCCCAAACTGCTGGGATTACAGGTATGAGCCACTGTGCCCCACCTAGTTTTTCTTTTTCTTTTTTTTTTAATACAGCGTCTCACTCTGTCACCCAGGCTAGAGTGCAGTGGCTCATGCAATGATCTTGGCTCATTGAAACCTCCTCCTTGTGGGTTCAAATAATTCTCCTGCCTCAGCCTCCTGAGTAGCTGGGATTACAGGTGCCTGCCACTATATCCAGCTAATTTTTATACTTTTTTTTTTTTTTTTAGTAGAGATGGGGTTTTGCCACGTTGGCCAGGCTGGTCTTGAATTCCTGACCTCAGGTGATCCGCCTGCCTCAGCCTCCCAAAGTGCTGGGATTACAGGCATGAGTCACCGCACCTGGCCTGGACACCTTTGCTTTAAACGTTTTCCAAACTTAATCTGAACGATCTCCCCATTGAATGGAAGTTCCCTGTTGTAGTAAACCAATGCCCTTTGTCAGACAGCTGTATAGAACCATGGCCTGTTCGAGTGATAGACTGGACCAGCAGGGTACAGTGGAGGGTGACTCGAGTTAATCCTGCCTGCTGCCTGGTTTTGTAAATAAAGTTTTATTGGAACACAGCTATGCCCATTCATTTACACACCATCTATAGCTCCTCTCTCTTACAACCCCAGGGCTGATGAATCTTGACATTTACCATAGGAGCACAAAAGCAAGTATGTTTACTCTCTAGTCCTTTAAGAAAAAATTTACCTGGCCACGCATGGTGGCTCATGCCTATAATCCCAGCACTTTGAGAGGAGTTTGGATCACCTGAGGTCAGGAGTTCCAGACCAGCCTGGCCAACACGGTGAAACCCCACCTCTACTAAAAATACAAAAATTAGCCAGCCGTGGTACTGGGCGCCTGTAGTCCCAGCTATTCAGGAGGCTGAGGCAGGAGAATCACTTGAACCCGGGAGGTGGAGGTTGCAGTGAGCTGAGATCTTGCCATTGCACTCCAGCCTGGGCCACATAGTGAGACAACGGCTCAAAAAAAAAAAAAAACAGGCCAGGTGCAGTGGCTCCCACCTGTAATCCTAGCACTGTGGGAGGCGGAGGTGGGTGGATCACCTGAGGTCTGGAGTTCAAGGCCAGCCTGGCCAACATGGTGAAACCCGTCTCTACTGAAAATACAAAAATTAGCTGGGCATAGTGGCAGGCACCTGTAATCCCAGCTACTCAGGAGGCTGAGGCAAGAGAATCACTTGAACCCGGTGGGGTGGAGGTTGTAGTGAGCTGAGATCATGCCATTGCACTCCAGCCTGGGCAAAAAGAGCAAAACTCCATCTCAAAAAAAAAAAAAACAGAAAGAAAAAGGAAAAGGTTACCTAGCCCTGGACTAAATAAAGACAGGCTGTCAGAGATCACAGGTGGCCAGTGTTAGAGCTGTTTCCTTACTTCTGCCATTTAAACACAACTAATGACCTTGAAGACAAAAGCTCCTCGCCCCTTGGCAGGGATGGATGTGACATGGTTAGCAGTAGCAGGTCCAAAAGAGCTCTAGAGTGGGCACGGGAAACCTGGGCTCCCACTTCAGTCCTGGGAGGCCTCGGGAGACATTCCGAGCTCTCTGAGCTTCATTTTCCTCATCTACATACTCAGAATAATACCTGTTGTAAGAAGCAAAGATAATCAAGTCACGACAAGCTTCCAAATAAGACAGTCACCATTCAGATGAAAAGCACCATCAGCCTGACAGAGAAATGACTGGAGGTGACAATGCCCTCAACACACAGACACACGCAGGCCCTGGGTTTTGTTTCATCTCTCGAGCACCCTACATGGGGTATAAGGAGCCCACTGGGTCCTAGTCCCAGTTCTGTTCAAGGGCTCAGGGAACCCACAGGCCCTGGTAGTGTAGTAGCCCATTTCATAGCCTGGTAGCCTGAGGCCCAGGCATGCCGGGACCTGACACTTTCTCCCTTGCTCCTGTTCACAGTGCAGGATTTGGATTGCTTCACCACTGTCGCTCAGCTGTGCCCGTTTGAAAAGCCAGCGACCCACTGCCCAAGGTAAGGCGGGCCTGATCTGTCATCTTTTCTATGGAGGTGTTAGAAGTAGCTTTTTAGGCTGGGTGATGTGGCTCACATGTATAATCCCAGCACTTTGGGAGGCCAGGGCGGGTGGATCACCTGGGGCCAGGAGTCCATGACGGGCCTGGCCAACATGGTGAAACTCCATCCCTACTAAAAATACAAAAAATTAGCCAGGTGCGGTGGCGTGCACCTGTAGTCCCAGCTACTCAGGAGGCTCAGGCACCAGAACGGCTTGAACCTGGGAGGCACAGTTACACTGAGTGGAGAACATAGTATTGCACTCCAGTTTGGGTGACAGAGCAAGACCCTGTCTCAGAAAAACAAAAACAACAAACAACGGGAGCTTTAAAACAATCAGCTTTGGCCACAGGGGTGGCGGGGTTGCTCTCACCTGCCTGTGATCTCAGCACTTTGGGAGGCCAAGGCCGTGGATCACCTGAGGTCAGGAGTTAAAGACCAGCCTGGCCAACATGTTGAAACCCCATTTCTACCAAAAATACAAAAACTAGCCAGGCGTGGTGGCAGGTGCCTATAATGTCAGTTACTCAAGAGGCTGAGGCAGAATCGCTTGAACCCAGGAGGCAGAGGTTGCAGAGAGGTGATATCATGCCACTGCACTCCAGCCTGAGTGACAAGGGTGAAACTCCGTCCCAACATAAATAAATAAATAAATAAAATAACTGGTTTTATTGAGGTACACAATATGATCTACCCATTAGAAGTACAGGATGTGTTTTGGTGAAGGTATACATTTGCACAGCGGCCACCCATCCGAGTGCAGGACATTGTTGCCACCCCACATCATCACTGTCCTGGTGGTCAGTCCCTCTCCCTCCACCTCCCAGCCACACCCCTGCCACCAGGGCGCTTCTTTCTGTTGCTCTGATTTTGTTTTTTTTCTGCAAAATTATGGCGCCGTGGCAGAGTGTGGCCTTGGGGGTCTGGCTTCTCTCGCTCTGCGTTATATGTTCGAGACTCAGCCTGCTGGGAAGCGTGCCAGTGGTGTTTTCTTTCATATCATCACGCAGCATTCCATTCTGTGGACACGTGACAATGGGTTTGTCCCAGGAGTCGGTTCTACAGGCAGCTGACCCCAAATGACTGATCCTTGGGGGGCGGTGCCTCCCAGCATAAAATAAGGGGTGTGCTGGCAGCACGTGCCACTAACGTTCCTGGCAGATCCTCTTGGAAAGAGAACACAGGAAACTCCCTCTTATTTGGATCAGCCGAGGATTTCTCGGATGGAAAATGTCACAGGTCTTGGGGGCGTACCCACTCTATAGATGCTCCCCAAGGTTCAGATTCTATGATACATCTGTGATCCTCAGCTGTGCTTCAGACAGAGTACGCTTTCTGACTTAGCTCCATTGCAGAATGAGAAATATAGTGAGGTCCCAGGACCCTGGGTGGAAATGCTGTGGGGATGAAGACAGCTGCCCTGGAGGCTGAGTGGCGAGGCCTCGTGAGCCCTTGTCCTGGGCTGGAGGCCTGTGAGTTCCGTAAGGGACAATAGGTGGTGACACCAAGGTTGGAGCAGGGAAAGGCCCCGGGAGGGTGACCAGTTGGGGAGGGGTCCAGACTCCTTTCCCTCGGCCACCATCCCACTTAGGCTTAATAGATTTTCCCTAAATATTAGAAGCAGACGGAAAGAATTTCAGAAAATACAAACAGAAAAACATGACAGAGTACAGTATCTAAAAAGTTCATTTCTGACCTGCGTTCAACATTCCAAAAGAAGTAGGAGAGAATGTTCTTAGACTCTCCCCAGTTCTTTTTTTTTTTGAGACAGAGTTTTGCTCTTGTCGCCCAGGCTGGAGTGCAATGGCGCGATCTCGTCTCACAGCAACCTCTGCCTCCCAGGTTCAGGCAATTCTCCAGCTTTAGCCTCCGGAGTAGCTGGGATTACAGGCATGTGCCACCACGCCTGGCTGATTTTGCATTTTTAGTAGGGACAGGATTTCTCCATGTTGGTCAGGCTGGTCTTGCACTCCCGACCTCAGGTGATCCACCCGCCTCGGCCTCCCAAAGTGCTGGGATCACAGGCATGAGCCACCACGCCTGGCCTTTTTTTTTTTTTTTCCCCCTTCAATCCACACATACACCCTTTCTTTCTACCTACTCATTTCCCTGCCTCCCTGCCCCTCAGAACTGTTTGAACTTCTCTGCCCCTTTGCCTGGCTTCCTTCCCTCCCCGCATCCTGCCCGTCTGGGGCCAGATGGCCTTCGGCTGCCATTTTGGTTTCTTGGTCCCTGGGCTCCAGCCCACGTGGGCTGTTTCTGAGAAACACAGAAGACCTTTCCTTACACAAAGGCCCTGCTCTTTCCTGGTTTGAGTTTGTCATACCGCCCAGGGGTCACCCATTTCCAGTTAGAGGCACTTTCCTTATTCCCTGGGGCATCTGTAGGGCTGTGGTGACTGACACATCGTGATCTAACCCCTCTGCCCCAGGTTATCAGTGTCCCTTCTTTGGAATATTCTGTGACTCAGAGAGGTGAGGGCCCTCCACCCTTTCCTCCTCCACACAGGGAAGCGGCCTCAGAAAAAGTCTCTCGATACTAATCTCCACAATGTACCCACAGCATGAACTGGCCAACACCCAAGCGTGGGAGGGGCGGCTCACAGTTCCACACTCTCCTCTCTGAGATTTTATTCCCTTTACCTTTGGTTTGTGCATGTCTTTTGTGTATGTGTGTTTATTTTTAGAGACACAGTCTTGCTCTGTCGCTAGACTGGAGTGCACTCAGCTCACTGAAACCTCCGCCTCCCAGGTTCAAGCGATTCAATCCTGCCTCAGCCTCCCAAGTAGCTGGGATTACAGGCTCCCGCCACCATGCCCAGCTAATGTTTTTGTATTTTTAATAGAGATGGGGTTTCACTGTATTGGCCAGGCTGGTCTTGAACTCCTGAACTGTGGTCCACCCACCTCAGCCTCTCAAAGTGCTGGGATTACAGGTGTCAGCCACCGCGCCTGGCATATGTATGTATGTTTTTAAAAGTGCTATCTGTACTGTTTTTGTTTTTTTGTGTTTTTTTTTTTTTGAGACGGAGTTACACTCTTGTTACCCAGGCTGGAGTGCAATGGCGCGATCTCGGCTCACTGCAACCTCCGCCCCCTGGGTTCAGGCAATTCTCCTGCCTCAGCCTCCTGAGTAGCTGGGATTACAGGCATGCGCCACCATGCCCAGCTAATTTTTTGTATTTTTAGTAGAGACGGGGTTTCACCATGTTGACCAGGATGGTCTCGATCTCTTGACCTCGTGATCCACCCGCCTCGGCCTCCCAAAGTGCTGGGATTACGGGCGTGAGCCACCACGCCTGGCCCTGTACTGTTTAATAGAAGCAAAAATATTAATATTTTTACCTCAGCTGAAAAGTAATTTTTTTTTTTCTTAAAGAGGAAAACTGTATGGCAGTTTCCTTTCATCTAAATGCTTAAATCTTGGAATTCAAATGAAGAGAGCCAGCTTAAGAAGTTTGGTTTTCTGTGCTCAGACCCGTCACATAAATGTTTCCTGTTTTCCAGAGTCCATTGTCCGGCGCACTGCAGAGACCAACCGTCCCACTGGGCTCCGGTGTTTGGAACCAACATCTATGCAGATGTGAGTAGGATGCGTTTTCAACGACTGCCCTCAAAGCCTGTTAAGACCTCAGCAGGCAAGCCGAGGGCTGCACCCTCGAGACTTTATTCCAGTGCCTCCTAGCTAAGTTTATTTGTTTATTTATTTCGAGATGGCGTCTCACTCTGTTGCCCAGGCTGGAGTGCAGCGAACTGATCTTGGCTCACTGCAACCTTCACCTCCTGAGTTCAAATGATTCTCACACCTCACCCTCCTGAGTAGCAGGGATTACAGAGCTCAGCGCCACACCTGGCTAATTTTTGTATTTTTAGAAGAGACAGGGCTTCACCACATTGGCCAGGCTGGTCTGGAACTCCCAGCCTCAGATGATCTGTCCACCTCTGCCTCCCAAAGTGCTGGGACTCCGGGTGTGAGCCAGCGCACCCCGCCAACGTCTTATCTAAGTTTAGACCACTCGTTTCTGCAGACATTGCCCCCATTTCCCCATTTCTAGAGACAGTAGCTCTTCCACCTGTTTCAGGTGTGCCTGGCCTTAAGCGTTTTAATAGTGTGAAGATTCCCATGCTTCAGATACTTCATTTTTCCGACGATTGAGATGTCTGCCCAGCTCTGCGGAGGCACTTAAAGAAATGCCCGCTCACAGTATTTCTTCTCAGTTTTGCACACACTTAGCTAAAAGCACAAAGAAAATAATACAGGCTACCCTAATCTACTACTAGTTAGTAACCACTCTTGTTATCCGAAGCTCCTCCTCCATTTTTCCCTCCGAATTTTAACCAGGGAGCGTTAGCCTGGTTTTGCGTAGGTGAATCCTGCAGGGCATAGTCTGTTCCCTCTGGTTGTCCGGGCTTTGGGGACACGGTGACCCAGATGAGGTGATTGTGGTCCCAGTTCTGCTGCCAGCAGGCTGTGTGATCTTGCCAAGCTGTTTCCTTGTGGTGGAATGACCCAGAACTGGGATTATGACATCCAGGGAATCTTCTAGATTTAAAATTTCATGATTAGGGCAGCATTATTCATCTCCAGCTAATGTTTTTTTTTTTTTTTTTTCTCTGAACAGAGACAGGGTCTTACTACGTTGGCCAGGCTGATTTTGAGCTCCTGGGCTGGAGCGAGTCTCTTGCCTTGGGCTCTCCCAAAGTGCTGGGATTGTAGGTAGGAGTGAGCCAGCACAGGCGGCTAGGGCTTTACAGCCGTCCCCCAGCCCTCCACCCCACCACCACCTTTGCCTCCGCCTGCCTTCATTTGTTCCAGATTCCCGTAAATCTGAGGCCACTGGGCTCGGTAAGGTCAGAGCCGGCTTCATGACTAAGCTCTTCCCCTCATCTTTTTTCTTTCCTCTTTAAATGGGTCTCTTTTTCTTCTTGAAAGCGATTCGGCTAAAATTAAGTTCTAAGAGTTAAAAATTGTATGAGGGAGTAAAATAATACACGTCGATTATTACCCCAAATGTTTGAACCAAATTCTACCATTAAGAGACAGAGGGTGAGGTTTTCAAATGATTTAAAAATGAAGAGCTGGGCAAAGCTATCCCAGCCAAATACACACACATGAGAAGCAAGAGTGGAAATATTACTCTCTGAAAAAGTGGAATTTAAACACCGAATGAGACGAAGTAATGTTACACGTGATACAAAAGATACCGTTTATGGGCTGGGCGCGGGGGCTCACACCTGTAGTCCCAGCACTTTGGGAGGCCGAGGTGGGCAGATCACGGGACCAACATGGTGAAACCCTGTCTCTACTGAAAAAACAAAAAAAAAGCATTCATATTGCACTGACGGGAACTGGCATGCAGGTAAAACGGTACATGCAGTCTTCATTAACAAGTTTCTCTAGGATTTTGAGCTTTTGGGACCCCAGTGCTCATGACAGGGCTTGACACGTAATCACTGTTTGCTGGAGGAATCAATAAATGGAGATACTGCGGTAGGCAGCACTTAAACAGCTCTTCTAAAAAAAAAAAAAGAAAACAAAAGGAAGAAAGAATGAAGGAGAGAAGAGGGAAGGAGAAAAGGAGGGAAAGACAGCCACCTCCGTGTGAGAGGTTCTTTTCTGGCCCTGGTTTCTAGGTCACTCTGTATTCTGGGAAATGATGATGGCTTTTGGAAAATGTCTGTTTAGTTAAGAGACTGAATTTGGGGGCGTTGTCTTCAGACCTTCTAACGGCCTGTTCATGCCCGCGGCTCCCGCCTGCTCACCAGGAGTGCATTTCCTGGCAGACCCCTCACCATGTGGCGAGCTGCAGACGGAGCATTGAGGTGTGGCTGGGAGAGCCCAGCCCTGGCGATGCCATGCCAGTTGTGGGAAGCTGGGGAACCTTTTGCCTCCTCTGAACCTCAGTCTGTGTCCTACCCGCCCTGCTCAGTGCTTGGATGCATCTCACAGTCCTGCATGTATCAGAATCCACCCCCAAGCCTGCTTGAGGTCTGGAGCACATTTCTAGGCCTCACCCTCAGCCTTCAGGATCACTGGGGCTGGGTGGAGCCAGAGAATCTGCTGGTCTGGGACTGCCTGTTGAGGACCACGGGGCTAGTGATGACAATGCCTTGGGAATTTTCCATCGTGACAATCATGGCAGTGGCATTTGTCTTGACTGACATCTACTGAGCTTGTGCTGTGTGCCATCGTGCGTTAAGCCTGGGGTCTTATTTAATCTTTTTCTTTTGTAACAGAGTCTCGCTCTATCACCCAGGCTGCAGTACAGTGGCACGATTTTTGCTCACTGCAACCTCCACCTCCCGGTGTCAAGCGATTCTCCTGCCTCAGCCTCCTGAGTAGCTGGTATTACAGGTGCCCACCTCCACACTTGGCTAATCTTTGTGTTTTTGGTAGAGACGAGGTTTCTCCATGTTGGCTTGGTTGCTCTCGAACTCCTGACCTCCAGTGATGTGCCTGCCTCAGCCTCCCAAAGTGCTGGGATTACAGGCGTGAGCCCAGCCCTTATTTAATCTCCACAGTAGCACTCTTCTTCCTCACTGTCATCACCCCAGATAGGACAGTGGACAACTTGCTGGCCCCACATGGCAGTCCCACCTCTGATCTTTATCAGCTGAGTGATTTGGGGCAAGGCATGAGCCCCCTCCCCATCAGTGTGCCTGTCTGTTGAAAGGGATTAATCATGATAATACCTACCCGGTAGAGTTATCGGGATTACTGTGTCCGTGCATGTGAAATGCTTAGAAGAGATGTGCACAGAAGTGACCTGTGACGTTCCCTGCTTTATACGGAGAAAGGCAGGGGTCTGGGGTTCACGTAGGTCATCCCAGGTCACACAGTCAGCAAGTGTCGCATGCAGGTTGGTTACCAGCCTCACAGACAGCAATTGTTAATAAATACCAGGTATTCCTGTTGCAACAGGCCCTCAGAAAAGAAAGTGGTTGCTTTCCCTTTTACCCTTTTACCCTTTTCGTCCCTTTTACCGAAGCCTGGTGAGAGGAAAGGTGTGGGCGGAAGGAAGGGGAGAGGAGGGAAGGTGTTTGCGTGGGGGATGTGTATTGATAATGAGGCTGGTGGCATGTGAGCTTTCCATAGTCACGGCCTGCAGCTTGATGTTGTCACAGGACACTTTGTCACTGGTGTCCAGAAATCCTCCAGGGACTGAGGCAAAGCACCGCCTCTGGGGCTGCTCTCAGCCCGGAGGGTGTCCCTCCCTGGCCAGGGATTTTAGACGTTGAGTTTGCGACACGGAGGGATGGGTCCCTCCTGGCGCTCCGTTGGGAAATGGCCAGGGAGACAGAAAGCCTGGAGGTCTTATTTAATCTTTTTGTTGTTGTTGGAAATGCAGCTTCTCTGGCTCCACCCAACCCCACTGATCCTGAACGATGAGGCCAGGGCCTAGAAATCTGCTCCAGCCCTCGGGTGGAGGCAGGGGTAGATTCTGATACATGCACACGTGTGAGAACTTACCAAGCATGGAGGCTTCACCTGCCGGGAAGAGCAGTGAGCGCCACGGTGTTCACTTAGCAAACTCGACCCAGGCACGGCGATTTTAGAGGAATTCTAAAGCGGTCACCTCATTTCAGAAGTCTCCTCACTTTTCTTTGAGATGGATGCAGAGTGACTGCTCCTTAGTATTTAGGGGGGCACAAAGCTCTTTGAGAATTGGGCAGTTGTGGATCTTTCCTCCAAAGGGGGAACACGCATCCTTGTTCACACAGGGAGGCTGGCCACCCCGGTTTGCCGGGGACTGAGGGGTGTCCCGGGCCCTGCACTAACACCAGCCCTGCAGGTTCGTGGCCTTCTGCCTGCAGCTCCACGGCCTCCCGGATTCCCAAAACCCCGCTTTGGGTTCAGGAACCCCGCCTTCATCCATTCCGTTTATTCACTGAAGATGAAGACATGTGAGTTGAGGGTGTTTAAGAAGCAGCCATCGGCTACTCAGTAAATGGATCCTGGAAAGCAGGAAATCCACTCTTCAGGTCTTTGATATGAATGTGTGTGTTGGCTCCACTTTTTTCTTTTGTTTTTTATTTTTCTGAACAGGCCTATGACTGTTAATGTTGGAATGTTGGCTCCGCTCGTTGTTTTTTTTTTTTTCGGAGGAAGTCTCGTACTCTGTCGCCCAGGCTGGAGTGCAGTGGTGTGAGCACAGCCCAGTGCAGCCTCAACCTCCTGGGTCAAGTGATCCTCCCGCCTCAGCTGCTCGTGTAGCTGGAACTACAGGCACGTGCCACCACATCTGACTAGTTTTTAAATTTTTTTTTTTTTTTGTGACAGAGTCAGGCCATGTTGCCCAGACTTGAGGGAAGTGGTACAATCTTGGCTCACTGTAACCTCTACCTCCCAAGTTCAAGCGATTCTCCTGCCTTAGCCTCCCCAGTAGCTGCGATTACGGGCATCTACCACCACACCCTGCTAAGTTTTGTATTTTTAGTAGAGATGGGGTTTCACCATGTTGGCCAGGCTGGTCTCGAACTCCTGACCTTGTGATCCACCCATTTTTATCTTTACAGTTCTGGAGGTCAGAAGTCCAATGTAGGCATCACCAAGCTAAAACCAAGGTGGAAGCAGGGCTGGTTCCTTCTAGAGGCTTCAGAGGAGAATGTGTTTTCTTGCCTTTTCCCGCTTCTAGAGGCCACCTGCATTCCTTGGCTCATGGCCTCTTCTTTCATCTTTGAAACAAAGATGGGGCTGGGTGCAGTGGCTTATGCTTTGAGAGGCCAAGGCGGGAGGATTCCTTGAGCCCAGGAGTTCAGGACCAGTGTGGGCAGCACAGCGAGATCTTGAAATAATTTGTATTTATTTGTTTATTTTTGAGATGGAGTCTCACTCTGTCACCCAGGCAGGAGTGCAGTGGGCACAATCTCAGCTTGCTGCAACCTCCGCCTCCCAGGTTCAAGCGATTCTCCTGCCTCAGCTTCTTGTGTGGCTGGGACTACAGGTGTGTACCACCACGTCCAGCTAATTTTTATGTTTTGTAGAGATGGGGTTTCACCATGTTAGCCAGGATGGTCTTGATCTCCTGACCCTGTGATCTGCCTGCCTCAGCCTCCCAAAGTGCTGGGATTACAGGCATGAGCCACTGCTCCTGGCTACAAATAATTTTTAAAAGTTAGCAAGGTATTGTGGCACACAACTGTGGTCCCAGCTACTTGAGAGACTGAGGTGGGAGGATCACTGGAGCCTGGATGGTAGAGGCTGCAGTCAGCCATTATGGCATCACTGTCCTCCAGCCTGGGCAGCAGAGTGAGACACCCCTCAAAAAACAAAAAACCCAGCAGTGGCTGGTAGAGTCTTTATCATGCTTCTGTCTCTGACCCTCCCAGCTCTCTCTTCTAAGGACCCCCACTTGGATGACATGAGGCCCACAGGATAATCCAGGCTATTCTCCCCACCTCAAGGTCCTTAACTTAGCTGTGTCTCCAAAATCTTTTTTGCTATACAAGGTTCCATAGTGACCAGTCAGGGGATTAGGCTGTGCACATCTTTGGGTACCATTGTTCTGCTGACTGCAGAAGCGAGGACTTCACCCTTAGCCGGACCCCAGCTGGAGTCTCACAATCCCTTCACTGCCTGTGTGGCCTTGGGAAAGTCACTGAACCTCACCGAGGCTGTGTGGGAATAGGGTAGCCGGTCACCTTGCTTGAGGATTAAGTGAGATAATAATCGAAAGGTAGTTGGCACAGGGCCTGGTATTCCATACACTCAGAATCCATGCCAGCCCTGCTCACTGTGAAGGAGGCCGTTCATGCCAAGGGAATCTACTCAGCCCACCACCTGCCACCCTGGCTGCATGGGAGGACCGGCTGGGGAGGATTTTAAGATGCCAACTCTCAGGCTGCACCCCTGAGCGTGGGAGGGGGTTGGGGACTGGGCATGGTCATCGTGGAAATATCCCGCAGGTGGCTGTGGGGTGCAGCAGAGGTAGAGACTACCACCAAAGCCAGTGTCGGATTTCAGCACAGGCCAGAGGGACAGATCGTAGCCCAGGTCAGGGAGGCACCTCTGCCCTTCGTAACCTTGAGTGTGCATCTGACTCTGTGGCCCGCGGCCGGGAGGCTATGAATCAGTAGGCCAGGGCAAGGCCCAGGAATCTGCATCTTTAGCATGCCCCAGCTGTCACCCGCCGCTGAAAGATGCCCTCAACTTTGAGAATTGTGGATTGGTTCCTCTCTGACAACCCATCCTGAGGACCATTTTTCTACTGGAGAGGTTAAGATGCTAATGAAAGTTTAGGCCAGATGCAGTGGCTCACGCCTGTAATCCCAGCACTTTGGGAAGCCCAGGCAGGCAGATCATGAGGTCAAGAGATCAAGACCAACCTGGCCAACATGGTGAAACCCCACTTCTACTTAAAATACAAAAATTAGCTGGGCATAGTGGCGCATGCCTGTAGTTCCAGCTACTCAGGAGGCTGAGGCAAGAGAATTGCTTGAACCCAGGAGGCAGAGGTTGCAGTGAGCTGCGATCATGCCATTGCACTCCAGTGTGGACGACAGGGTGAGACCCTGTCTCAAAAAGAAAAGAGAAAAGTAAGTTTAACTTGAAGGTTTTATCACCCAGGAACTGAACTCCTCGATGATGTCAGAAAGCAGCACCTCCTGCCTCTGGGTGGTACCCAGCTGCTCCCTTGGTACCTAGAACAGTCCAGACCCCACCCTGTGTCCGGTGTACACGGCATGAAAGGCCCCTGCCCACCCCTCCCACCACACTCTGCCAGACTCACTATATTCCAGCCACCCTGGCTGTCTGTCTGTCTGTCTCTCAGACATACTGAGTGCACACCCACCCCAGGGCCTTTGCATAAGGCCTTCCCTACACTGGGATGCTCTGTGCAGAGCCATTCCCACAGTGGTGGCTGTTTCCTTTCTGTCATTCAGTCTTCCCCGAGCAGTGCTGAACTCTGAGGTAGCCCCTCCACCCAGGCATTTAGCCTTGCGAGTGGGTTTTGTTTCCTTCATAACTGACGCTACCTCATTTGTGTATTTATTTATTTGCTCACTCAGCTCCATGAAGCCGAGGTCTTTGTCTTGTTCCCTGCCAAATTTCCCTAATTCCTAATCTAGTGCCTGGTGTATAATAGCTGCTTAAAAAATACTTGTTCAACAAATGAATGAATGCCAAGTCTCTCTGGAGAGACCACCGAGGAATCTAGGTAGTGATGATTATTTCCTAGGGGTTATGGGGTTGACACCCCACCAGCCACGTCACCAGGCACTGCATGGCTGAGCCCCAGGCGGCTTGACCCATGAGCTGGAATCGCCATCACTGATCAGAGCGCTTCTGTGCCTCCAGACTTCCAGCATCTGTAAGACGGCCGTGCACGCAGGAGTCATCAGTGACGAGAGCGGGGGCTACGTGGACGTGATGCCCGTGGATAAAAAGAAGACCTACGTGGGCTCGCTCAGGAACGGAGTTCAGTCCGACAGGTAGGACGGTGTTCTCCACCCCTTGACACCCAAGCCCAAGCCCGGCTGCAAGTGTTCCCTCGGCGGGCCTGGGAAGAGGCCCAAAGTCGTTATCCTTTAGAATAAAATTTAGGTAGACTTGCATAAATCCTTACCAGGACACCCAGGTAAGAGCCTTTTTTTCTCTTTCTTGTTTTTCAAAATAAGCATGTTTTTCCCTATTATCACATTTGGGATTAAGTAAAAAAGAAAAAACCGACAACTTTTTTCCCTGTTACCCATGAACATTTTTGTAGAAAATTTGAAATCTGTAGGAACATTGGATGAGCCTGAAGATAATCACCCGTAACCCATCAGCTGGGAGAGTCACTGTTAGACTTCTTAGCGCACGTCCTTCCAGCTGTTTTTCTGTGTGTGTGTGTGTGTGTGTGTGTGTGTACGCACAAAAAATGGGATGAAATGATAGTTACATACCAGCCATATAAAGCTGTGTCATAATATAGTTACACACAATTATATAAGATCAGGGCGGTCAGGCTCAATGTGGCATGCCTGTAATCCCAGCACTTTGGGAGGCCAAGGCAGATGGATCGCCTGAGGTTGGCAGTTCGAGACCAGCCTGACCAACATAGTTAAACCTCGACTCTACTAAAAATAGAAAAATTAGCTGGGTGTGCATGCCTGTAATCCCAGTTACTCGGGGGGGCGGCTGAGGCAGAATTGCTTGAACCCGGGAGGCAGAGGTTGCAGTAAGATGAGACTACACCATTGTACTCCAGCTGGGTGACAAGAAGAAAACACTATCTCAAAAAAAGAAAAAAAAAAAAAAAGTTCCTAGAAGTGAAATTTCTGGGTGGGGCCTTTCCAGAGTGTCCTTCAAAAAGGGCCCCACCCTCGTTGGGGCTGCCAGTCCATGCCTTGTCTCATGCCACTCACTCTTATAGACCAGCTCCTGGCCTGGGAGTCTGAGAGACCCACGCCCAGTTCTGGGGTTCTCTAGAGCTTTACAGCTGCTAAGAAGACACTGGCCCTCAGCCTCTGTTCACTGATCTGTAAAGTGGGGATGGTTGTCACATCCGTCTGGGGGCAGATCCTGCTTGGGGGAGTGATGGGCAGCTCAGGCTGCTATGAGAGAGGACCACAGACCAGGCAGGAGGCTTCGACAACAGGAGTCTGGCTTCTCATAGCCCTGGAGACTGGAAGTCTGAAGTCAAGGTGCCGGCAGGTTTGGTGTCTCTCTCCTTGGCTTGCAGACAGCTGTCTTCTTCCCCGTGTCTTTAGGTGGTCCTCCCTGTGTGTGCTGGGCCCTAATCTCCCCTTCTAAGAACCCCAAGTGTCTTGGATTAGGGCCCACCCTCAAGGCCTCATTTTACCTTGATTGTCTCTGATCTTGTTTTGTTGTTTTGCTCTTGCTGCCCAGGCTGGAGTACAACGGTGTAATCTCTGCTCACTGCAGCCTCCGCCTCCTGGGTTCAAGCGATTCTCCTGGCTTAACTTCCCAAGTAGCTGGGACTACTGGCATGTGCCACCATGCCTGGATAATTTTTGTATTTTTGGTAGAAATGGGGTTTTGCTGTGTTGGCCAGGCTGGTCTCAAACTCCTGACCTCAGGTGATCCGCCTGCCTTGGCCTCCCAAAGAGTTGGGATTACAGGCGTGAGCCACCGTGCCCAGCCTCTTTGAAAATCTCCAAATACATTCTGAAGTGCACTTGAGAGTTAGGACTTTAACATACGGATTTTGAGAGCCCACATGTGAGCTCATAACAGGGTGATGTTGAAGATTTCATATTTGAGGTATCCTCTTTAAAGAAGAAATGAAATCAAGACTGTAATGAGCCCTGGACCCCAGATGCGCAAACCTTCCTGCCCCCTAGGACATGGCCCATGATCCCACCACCAGCCTCCTGGGCTTGCCCTGTCTCTGAAGACGCCGCAGCGTCACTTGTACCCAGATGATACCCGTTCTTCCTGGGATCTCTGCCCGATGACTCTGCCATTGGCAGCCCTGAAGAGCCCAAGTTGACAGCGTCCATGCCTTCTCTTTTAGCACGTGCAGGCTTTGTTTGGGAAAAGCTTAATGAAGGGAAATTCCACTGATTTAATGGGAGGGTAATGAAGCAGCTGATTAGGAGGAATTTCCTGGCCGGGCTGGAAAGAAATCCCAGGGCATCAATTTATTGAGCTCTTTGTACCCTCCTTAAGAGAAAACAGTCTTCCGGAGCAGCACAGCCTGCTGGGTTTTGTTCCCTGTCGGGCTGATTCATGAGAGCATCACGGCAGGGCCCTGTGGGCTGGGGACAGGGGCCTCACTGTGGGGCCCCATTCGTGGGTGCGTGCGGAGGGCAGGGATGGAGAGAAGGCCCCCGAAGCGGCTCCTCTCCCGCTATCACCCAGGGTGTGGGGGGCTGTCGGTCTTTCTTCCTGTGACACCCACCCAAATCGCCACTGTCACTGTCTCTGTAGATACCTTGCAGGCATCCCTCCCAGGTACACATGTCACTGGTGCCTTCCGCACTCTAGAAAGGTTTTACTGATTTTCTGCAGCGTTTCCGGAGTAGGGACTTGGCTTCTCTTCCTTCGTGGAATGTGTGTTCCTTCGTCCTGTGGACTGATGTCTGTGATAATGCTTAGATTCAGCTTTTCTGTGCCTCAGTTTCCTCACCTGTAAAGGGGAAACATATTACCTGCCCCCTGGGGTGGTGGGCAGGGCAGGAGGTCTCCAGATGGGGTCCCCAGACCGGCAATGTCCAAATCAACCCAGAGCTTGTTGGAAAAGCACATCCTCTGGCCCCACCCCGCACTGCTGAATCGGACTCTCTGCGAGGGTCCCAGCAGCCTCTGTGTGAGCAGGTCCGCTGTTCTAAGAATGACACGAACCTGGCAAACCTGACACTCAAGTCCCAGTCTTGGTCCAGCCTGGCATATAGGGAGAGTGCAGAGCCCGTTAGATCTGGAAATAGCAGCTCAGTAGTTTCTGTTTCTCAGGATTTCTGGACACATAAAGGGATTTTCAGTCACCTGACCCTTGAGATTCTCAGCACTGAGTTGTCCACGACAGGAGCCACCAGCCCTGGGTGCTCACTGAGACCTAAAATGGGCTTATCCTTTTTCTTCTTTTTAAATTTTTTTTCAGGAGGTAGGGAGGGGGTGTGGTGGGAGAGGCACTGGGTCAAAATGGGCTTATCCTGAGTCCATGCGGAGATGTGCGTCAGTGTGAAATATACACGCATCTCCAAGGTTTTGTACCCTTGATTCTCATATTATTTTGCTATTAAGGGTCATTCAACCGGGCTCAGTGGCTCACACCTGTAAACCCAGCACTTTGGGAGGCTGAGATGGGTGGATCACCTGGGGTCAGGAGTTCGAGACCAGCCTGACCAACATGGTGAAACCTCATCTCTACTAAAAATACAAAAATTAGCCAAGCATGGTGGTGCACACCTGTAATCCTGCCTACTTGGGAAGCCGAGGCAGGAAAATCGCTAGAACCCAGGAGGTGAAGGTTGCAGTGAGCCAAGATTGTGCCACTGCACTCCAGCCTGGGTGACAGAGCGAGACTCCATCTCAAAACAAACAAAAAAAAGAGTCATTCATTTACTGAATATTCATCGTGCACCTGCGCTGGGATCCAGGGATGCAGATGATCAAGTCCACAGAACTCGAAGCTCAGAAGGGGAGTGAGCACTGGAGTCCCCCACAGACTGCTAGCTGGGAGAGTTACCCCAATATTTTTGGGGATGCTGCTCTACACTCCCCTGCGGGGTCACCTCGGTCAGGCAGTTTCCCCAAGCCTTGGCAGCTCCTCTGTCTGTTGAGTCACCATGAGAATTACGTGAGAGAGTGTGTGTCAAGCCCTTGGCCAGTGGCTCACAGTAAGCATGATATAAAACCCCCACCTGTTGTCACAACCTCAAGATGCCATGGTTCCTTTCTCATCGGGTCAGATGGCTCTGTCGTAGGAAATGGCCTACGTGAGTGAGCGACCAGCATAAGGGGTCAGGGTCTCAAAGGAATCCGTTCTTTCATCTTTGCCTCCATCCTTCCGATGCTCAGTCCATGTAGGTGTCACGCACTTAGGGAGCATTGACAATGTCCCAGGCACCCAGGATCCCATGGGGAGCACAACAGCGGATCTCTCCCTTCATGGGATTTGCCACCTATTGTGAGGACACAGTACAGAAACGATTTCAGTGGCGGGGCCCAGGGGTCACTGTTTTGGAGGGCCGTTCAGGGAAGCATTGAGAGGGCCAGTCTTACCCCAGAGGGGACTCCTTGGTGACATGGCTCCCAAGAGAATCCTGTAGAGACAGCTGAGCGTGGCCATGCCCTGTCCTTTCCTTATTTTTATGGGACCTCAGCCTCTGTCTCTACACAAAGCTCAGGGCTGGGAAATTTCCCAGGAGCTTGTTCCCAATAGGGTCTGTGGAAATCCAGCCTGGAGCCAAAGGCTGGCTCTGTCCCTGATGGCTGCTGGGCCCTGGAGGGGTCACAGGCAGTCCCAGGGGAGACGTAGATGTTGTGTACACTGTGGCCAGTTCACAGCAACCTGTTTTTTACGTGTAGGGAGTCCTTCAATTACACAAGCAACCAAACCCTCCGAACAGAATTCTCCACACACAGGGCCAGAAATCTGTTCTGCTTCATAGTGGTTTTGGTTTAGCAATGGTCCTCTTCTAGAGAGGACTTCCTGGAAATTTTGAAAGGCATCGTGCAGACAACGTAAGAGACAAGCACCTGTTTTCTCACCCCTGCCCGCCGGGGTAGCAAAGGAAAGAAAAGACATCAGGAAGAGCATTTCCCCAAGAATATTCAGACACCTTCGTCAGTATTAGGAAGAAGGTGTCTGAATATTCTTGGGGAAATGCTGGACATCTGGATGAGTGTTAGTTCATAATTTTTTCTTAGACCAGAAACATTTTTTAACACAGATTTTGCAAGAGATTGGGAAATACATCAACCATGACAGTGAGCATTCTTGGTCACTTGTGTTTTTAAACTGTCACCTTTATCCAAAGGAACA